TTATTCTTAACATATATTGATGTATATGTCTATATTTTTTAATATTATTAATTATAATTTTTATGTTAAATTTGTATTGATAATATATATATATATATGAAATTGGATGGATTTTACATTTTTCAATGAAATATTTTCATTTTCAATTTTTTAACATGTACTTTAAGTATTTTTAAAAATTATTTTAAATTATCATTATTCTTAATGCAGTTTCACGCCAAGTAGCTTCTTCCTAACCCGCATTTTGCAAGTGCCTCTGTCTAACCATATTTATAAAATCACTTTCGCAAACCCCACGTTATCAGAATATTGTAAGTAAATATAAATAATCCATGATGAAAAGACCCCTCACACCGCGATTCTCATTGTGAACTAACAACATTAAACAATTGCGAGTTCAAACACTCAATTATATAATATTCCCCCAATTAAATAAACAGACCCATGAGTTGTGAAAGGAATGCCTGTGAAGAGCCAGAGAAAGAAGGCACGTTTCCTGTTCAATTTTGTGAAGCATAGATGTGTATGCCTTTTAGGAGCAGCAGGCTCACAAATTACAATTATGAACAAAAATCATACCCATCATAATATGTGTATATATATATATATAAAGAAAAAATGTGCATAAAGAAAACACAAGTTGAAGTTTACATTAAGTAGCGTTAGCGAAGCATGAGACAACAACCAACCACGTTAGATAAGATTTTTAAAAAGCGCTGGATGGATAGGCTGTGTTTTAATTGAAGCGCGGAAGATTTACTCCTAATCGCTAGATATCAATTACTGGCTGGGTTTTTTAAAATTCTATTTTATATATTGATATTAATTAATATTTGAATTATAAAATCATAAAAAATAGTAATAAAATATGATTATGATAAATATTATTTATTAACTTTTGATGAGAATAAACTATGATAAATTAAATCATTTTAGCTATCAGATTGAGAAGTTGTTCTTCGTTGGCATACATGTCAGTACATTGTCATGTTGAGATTAACAAAAACTAATTTTTTTTCTTTCAACATACATCACTGTGTGTTCAAATGAAAAAGATTATAATAATAAAATGATTATTTTATTCTAAGAAAAGCAAAAGAAGAATATTTTATGATGTGATTCAAAAGAGAAGCGATGTAACAGAGGGACAAATTGGTGGCATTGATGGAGTACTAAGACTCACATAGACGGATTCACATTTCGCATCAAGGATTCTATCATTCGAGCAAGTATGCAAATAAGAGAAGTAGGAGACAAAGCCTTGGCCTCCTTCTGTTGCGCGTGGAATTGGGATTTCCAAGCCAAAATATTTGGAAGCCACCGATTATGTCCCACGTGGCGTCGTCAGCTTGCAAGGTGGAATTTATCATCAGCTCCTAGTAGTAATAACAATAATAAAGGATTTTTTTTATTTTTTTAAAATTGAGTTTGAGTATTTAAAAATGATAAAATTTTATTAAAAATATATTTCTTATATTAAAATTATAAAATTTACAGAAATTAAAGTTAATATTTATTATTAATAATAATAATAATACAATGAAGTTGGTGATGTCGCCAATTTATGTATGCTTTGCATACTCGCATCACATCATTTAACTACCACTTAATTCATGCCTCGCAATCAGGAGACTGCAAAGTCGATTTTGTATTAATAGTTAATTCAGGTTTTCTGCGAATGATGCTGTCGACTGTAAAAATTTTATGCACTGCAATATTTATACTACATAAAATCAAGGCAAAATCTGATTGACTCTTACCTTAACTAATATCAATGGGTCATGCAAATTAACAAACCATTTAACAAAAGCTTACATTACATTATTCAATTGTATAAAGTAAATAAACAACACGAAATTTGAAAATCTTATATAAGTAGTCTTGGGTTTAGTATATGAATATAAAACAAACAATAAAAAGAGTCACTACCTTCAATATATGTACGTGAGTGTGAGAAATTAAAGAATAGTGATATTATTATGATTACTAAATATTATAGTTTTGATTAAGTTATGTCACTTCCTAGTTTTTCTTTTAGTTTATATGACAATAATTTATACTTTTTTGCTTCAATCAAACATATAAATGGTTTTTCTTACAAAACTCAGGAAATTATGCATAAAAACAAAAGTTTAACATCAAACAATTAATAGGGGGGGCACCGACCTCTGGTCCTATTAAACATCAGAGTGAAAAAAAATATCTATACTATGTATGAAAATGGACTTACGACAAAGGCCTTTTAAGTGTTTTTTTATCAGCATAATTATTTTGAAATCTTAAATAATTATTCAACTCTTTAAAATACAAGTACTTACTCAAATGCACGTAAATACAAGGTTAAAAAAATCCTTCTTTGGAAGCTCACACAAAAATCCATAAATTTGATTCAGAAAAAGCTAACTAAAAGAATCATAACACTAATAATTTTGAAGTGTAAATATCTGAAATTGCGGGTCATATTATTCCACAGGAAGAGTGTTTTCAAAAGGTTAAAAAATGAACATAAATGAAGCCAAAAGTAAAAAAAGGGGGGGTTTGAGACTTTGTATTCTTTCAATCTAACATTTTTTCTACGCCCTGATACAGGGAAATTGAAAAACCAAGGTTGTGGTCTCGGAATCATTCGAATTTAATCATAACAACCAAAGTATGAAATGAGTTTTAAGGAAAAGCAAATGAGAATGAGAGATGAAAAGTGGGTGGCTATTATGTAATAGTTGAAACTTGGGACATTGAAGTTTATTCTTCTCCTCAAAAGAGAAAGAGATATTATCGATGATCAGTAGCTATTGTGTAACGTTGGAAGGCTCCTACCCCCTCCCTTAAAAAAAGGGTATGGAATAATGCTAAAACATTCTTTCCTCCATTCAGTTGGAAAATGACAGATACATAGAAATCAGTTGAATTAGCACCGTATCTGATTTCAGCAGTGGAGGTTGCTTGACAAAGACGATACATCCCACTGTTTATTTCGTCTTCAAACTTCAAACTGTCACCTTTTTATTTCCCTCATTGGCCATATTAAGTACAACCATTATCATTAATGAGATTTGATGTGTAAATTGCAAAATTATCCTTTTAAAATAAAATAAAAATGTTATCGTCGCTTCTTAAAAGACCGTTTTAAACATTTTAGAATCTAAATTTTTTATCAAAACATTTTTTCTCACGCTATTTTTAATAATACCAATACTTCATTTTGAAAGAATTTTTAAGAAAAAGTAACAGCTGTCATAAAAAAACGATCTCAACAAATTATTTAAAAAAGAGTTCTGATATACCTATATTTTCAAAACTCAATCTCACGACAGGAAGGAATTTTGGTTTTCCACCATATATATAATATTTATTTTATTTTTTGATTTATCAAATATTTTTTTTAAATTATTTATAATATTAATGAACAATTAATGTGTATTTTTTAAAAATTAATTAAGGAAATAGATTAGAGATTTAATAAAAAAAATGAAGTATTAGTTATATACATTTTTGTATTAAAAATTTAAACGAAAAATAAAAAAGGATGAATAGAGTAACATTTTGAGTCTATTTAATTGAGTACGAATAAGAACATTTGAATTGGATTTAATATTTTTTATTTTCTTCCGAAATGTCCCTTTATGCATTATTATCATTATGGCGATTGATGGACAATCGGGCAGGCCCAGTAGCTTGGTCCTGCATTACATGTAACAACCGTTACAGCTGTGATTATCATTCTGACTAAAAAAGAAAAAATTATGATTATCAGATATCTATTCAGTAGGTCCAGTTCATTTTCATTCAATTTCATAAATATAATTTAAATTATTAATTTGATTAGTAATAGTAACAAAACATGCTTTCAAAATTTAGATATACTTTTGTAAAAATAGGAATGTATTTAAAAAATAAAACTATAGTTGATAATAAACAATTAGCAACAGATAGCAAACAAAACATATGTTATATGAATTACATATTTTTTAATTAACAGTTATAAATTTGATTCGGTTAAAAAAATCCCATTCATTTAAAAGAGTTAAATTCCGGAAAATTTTGCATTTTTCCTCTGCCAAAATACAAATACAAATCACAAAGCCGTCTGTATAATTTCCTTCTCAAATTTTTTTCACACAAAGCATTTCACGATTCACGGGCCGGACAGAGGATATTCATTATTCAAGATTTCACGTGGCATCCACGTGTTCTTATATAACTCCCACGAACTTGGGACTCCGGAATATTTATATTTTTTAGCTTGATGAAGGTTATAAAGTCGAAAACAATTTAGAATGTGCCGTGCGAACAAATAAAAAAACAGAAACATTTTAAATTTAATTTTCATTTATTTTAAACATGGGCTATGAATTTTTATTTTTATTTTTGTATGGAAAATCGTTACCCTGGTTATGATCATGCTCCCATTGCTTTTTTAGGAAAAAAATGATGAAGAAGGACAATTATTTTGGGCCACTAAACTGCACGGCGGTTTAATAGTACGAATACATATGAACTGGAAGGAAACCGCTATAACATGATATGAGGTTTATTTTAGGTACAGTGCATCTGTGCATGATATGAAGTTTGAAACCATTATGACCAGCAAAAGGTTGAAAACCATTACAACCTTAACATGATTTTGTTGAGAAGCAATAGCTATTGTAACATGCACTGCTAAATCAGGGTATACCAAGTGGGTTGTGGATATCATCCGTATATTATCACAAACACATATTTGAGTTGATTAATAATAGGCTCTAAAATTTAAAAACAATAATATTACATATGTTGTGTGTTATTAATATTCTACGCTAGCGTACATGTGACGTACTGACATTTGTTTATACGACAGTTTTTTCAATCATGAAAGCTTGAAATTCTTTTATTTATATAATTTTTATAAAATTACATTAAAAAAATCCATTACGCGCATGAATTAAAAAATTGACAAGTCTAGAATAAACGTACACCACATCCAATTATACATAGATGGAAAGAGGAATATACCCAGAAGTAGAAAATGAAAAGAAAAACAAAAAGATAGGGGAGTGTGAATGAGAAAAAGCGACGAGAAGAGAGGAGAGGAGAGGAGAGAAGAGATGATATTATGATGTGTGGGTGGCACGGCGCTCTCATTGATTCTCATCTTTATTTATTGAGACACTATAAAGAGAAGCAATGACACCAATTCTCATTCCCCCTCACTTTTGGGTTCAAAGTGATTGCTGACTCCTTTTATTTCCTTTGCACAACACAACATATACACGTTCGCCAATACCCATATCCTTATATCCTATTCTCTTGTCTCTGTCCCCTCTTCTTTCCTTCCCCGTAACCTCTCTTATGGAAACTCAACAACAACAACCCATCAAGTCTAGGTTCAGACGCATCTGTGTTTACTGTGGTAGCAGCCCCGGAAAAAATCCCAGCTACCAACTCGCTGCTATTCAACTCGGAAAACAACTGGCAAGTATACCTATTTCTATATCTATATATACTAAAATATCTCTACTTTCTGCCTCCATGATTATTACATATTATATAAACCAAAATACAATTTTTGTTTGTCACTTGTTATGTCATATGTAATTACTAGTACTTTAGCATTGTCTTGGGTTTTCGATTTGCTCCAAATACCAAAGCAGGGTGTTGCTGTGTTTGTCCTCTTTTTCCCCTGCCCTATCTTTTTTCTTGAAAAAATAAATTCAAGCGATTATTGAATCAATCGATTGGAGGTAAATGGTTAATTGGAATTTGTTCAGTTTAGTTTGACATTGTAAAATAAAAGAGAAATTATATTATATGCAGGTGGAGAGGAACATTGACTTGGTTTATGGAGGAGGAAGCATTGGATTGATGGGTCTAATATCACAAGTTGTGTATGATGGGGGACGCCACGTGTTAGGGTAACTCACCGCTCCCCCTTCTTCTGTCTCTTTCTTGTTGTATTTATGCTGATAAATCTTCTTGCTTGTGCAGAGTGATACCCAAGACACTTATGCCAAGAGAGGTACTACTTGGTTTTCTTTTTTCTTTTCAAGTTGAGGTTAATAGGGGTCATAAGCTTAATTAAATACTTAAAAAATATACAGTGGAAGTGACAATAGTTATTTAATAAATGTGTTTAGATAACTGGAGAGACAGTAGGAGAAGTAAGAGCTGTATCAGGAATGCACCAACGCAAGGCTGAAATGGCCCGACAAGCAGATGCATTTATCGCCCTGCCAGGTTCTTTTTTTTCCTCCGTCATATTATTCCCTTTCTCTTTTTCAAACAATTCTCTCTTCTCCAACTTGTATGCGTCCGTATTATGGATAACGAGATATTATTGCTTTCTGCACAGTAACAATCCTAGCTCACGTCAAGTGTTCTTTTTTTGTATCTCAATAATTTTATTATTTTACTAATACCCTGCTAGCAAATTTTGATTTAAACTAAAATCTAAAAACTTGCAGTAACATTCAAGATTAGTGATCCTTTTTTGGCTTATATACTTGGGGGGAAAAAATCTGCGTATATAAATACGTCCATCTTCATTTTTCATCTTTTGTTGACATTCTTTGGAAAACGAAAACGATTCCCAAGATAACTGTATCTGTAACTGTCAACCGTAGGTGTTGTATAATTCCGATTCTTCCGGCGATAACTCCAATGAAATTCCTATATTTATTAATTATTTTGAAGTTTTTTTTTTTTTACACATTTTAAGGTTTATTTATATCTGTATTTTTGGGATGCATGTATATATATAAAATAATTATACTGTCAATTTTTAGTTGTTAAAATCATAAAATTATTATTACATTAACTATTTCATCTCAGACCCTTGAATATTTTATTTTAGTTGAATAAAAGTTGTAAAAATGTGTAAAAAATATACATACTTTTTAATTTTGATATGCTATTGTTGTATTGTTATGGCAGAAAGTATAGTATACTTATTCGTTGCAAATTTATATTCCGACAGGTGGATATGGCACCCTTGAAGAACTATTGGAAATTATCACCTGGGCTCAACTAGGTATCCACGATAAACCGGTAAGGTTTCGGAAACAAAAATATATTTTCTCATATAATACTAATATTTGTTGTACTTATCAACACAAAAACCTTTTTCTCGTGATAAATGTATTTTGAAAAAAAAATGCTCACATCACATAACAAAAAGAAAGTAATTTATAAGAGAAATGATTGGTTTAATAGTGATTAATAAATGAAATTATTTGGAGAAATTCCCTTATTTGAGGAAGTCAAAGAAAAAGACATAATGATGGTGTTTACGATTGAGAAGAGAGAAGTTTGAATAATGATTATTAATAGTACTAAAATGGAAAATGAGAAAAATGATGGGACGTAATTGGTTGCAGGTGGGGTTGTTGAACGTGGATGGGTACTACAACTCGCTGCTGGCATTCATGGACAAAGCTGTGGACGAAGGTTTTGTAACACCAGCTGCCCGTCACATTATTGTTTCTGCCCAAACTGCCCAAGACCTCATGTGCAAGCTCGAGGTACATCATCATCCCCGTAGTACTAGTACATTCCAATTTGCAATTTTCCAATTTCCACTTTCCACTTTCCACTTTCCACTCCTCGTCCTCTGCACACGTGGGACAACGTGGTGGGCCCAATTTCATCAACATTATCTCAACCGTTGATTTTCTGCTTTGAACAGGAATATGTCCCCGAGCACTGTGGCGTGGCCCCCAAGCTAAGTTGGGAGATGGAGCAACAGTTAGTTAACACTGCAAAGTCAGATATTTCTCGTTGACTAAACCCACTCTTCTACAAACACACACACACTAATGCTGATTCTGATGCACCATCAAGGACCCCAGATTTAGTTTATTTGTATAAGCTATAACCTCAACCCCCCATAAAGAAAACACACCGCGACCCAACTCGTTTAGTTGTAACGCCACAGTCCTTTTTAGTTTAGCTGTGAACCTGATCGATCATTGCTAAATTTTCTTTTTGCCCCTTGTGTCAAGTTCAAGATTCACTCTGTAATTTCTTGCCTTTCTTAGTCGATTGGCTTTCGTGGCTGAGCTAGATGTACTATGTATTTGGTTAATTACGAACTAATTGTGCATTAGAATTTGACCTGGATGATTAAAAGATATACACTATGAATTTTCTATCACGTCGGTGATTTGTAATGCTATAAGTTTTAAATATATTTATATAAAAATAATCATTTGTTGAATACAGCTTTTAATTAATGGAAAGAAATGATGCGGATGGCTAACAATTAATGATGACACATTGAAATAGAACTGAAGAAATTGGTTACATGATGAGGTTCCATGGGCACTGTTATAGTCCTGGTTATTTTTCATTGCTTACTAGTGGATGAGAAAATTAATAGAGGCTCTTTCTGAGTCTTATTCTAACCAACCTTATGGTCCCCGGTGGACGGACCCACCCAATTGGATCATTTGACGGATAAATCAGGATAACGCAACTCTCCTCCATTCCTGTGGGTTCAAAAATGTCTATGATTTTTTTGTTAGCCCCTCCTTACATGATAATATGTTGGGGGCTTTCTTTTATTTTTAAATTCTGTTAGACATGTAAGGGAAAGAATGGAGAATATGGAACTCCAATCACATGGCTTCAACCCGGAGATAAATATTAGATATGGAGCTTTTCAATTGCCTCTTCTCTTGTTTTACCAATTTACCAACGGCGAAAGGTTTGGTATTTTTTTTTATTAAATTAGAGTTCCTTTTACCCGAGAAGTTTAATTTCTTATTTTATCTTTCTTAAAAAGAGACATGTTATTTTAAATTTTTAAATTTCAAAAACAAACTTTCTTTTTTATTTTTTATCTCTTTTAATTTTTTTAAAAACCAACTTAATTTAAAATATCTAGTTATTATGTGGGATACTTACTACTACTTAAAAATGATTCAAGCTTAAAAGTTTAAGATTATTTATTATTACTATACTAATTAAAAACTACATATACGTTCAATTAGATTTAATTAGTATAATCTTTTATATGGTCTCTAATTTCTACTCGGTGCCTCGTGTAAACTTGTTCCACAGTTTTAAAATGTTTATATAACAAACACAAAATAACTTTTTTACTTCAAAGCTTATTATCAATAATGAAATGGGAAATAAAATTGATCATCCCATGTATCTAAGCCCAAATCTGACTTCAGTTAGCTCTTACGTTACCTTTTACGCGTATCACTTTTTTCCTTCATAGTTGGAATATAAATATTCCAACGGGCGTCGAATAATTACTTATATAAAAATAGAATTGCATGAGATACAGTAAAAATGGAACAAAGATAGTTTTGAAGAGGAGTTTCAGAGTTGAATTGCATGGGGAATTCATGGTGGCTAGCACGATGAATGGACACTGTATCGTTGGACATTTGGAGACTTAGACGACGATTCTTTTAACCAAGTGGTTGATCTTGAATAATTGAAGGGGTTAAAGGACACCTGTCCTTGACCGTACTCAGCGGACAACAGACACGTTGCCTCGTGTGCAAAATAAAACAAAACAAAACAAAACAAAAGGGAATGATAAATAAAATAAAAGTGATGACGTAGAATGAGTGTCCCACACACGAGTTTAGTTTAGTAGTAGGTTGGGTGGTGAGTGTTCAATGAGCTATTGTCGTTATAGCACATAAGAAGAACCACGGGGCCACCTTGCAAGGAACCAACAAGTGCCCACGTGGACATGGCATTTCCCTATAGAAGCACAACTAGTCACGTTGCTATTCCTTCTTTATTCAACAAAAGGTGGCAATGGTATGAATAAGGAACTAGGAAGGAAGGATGGTATATGGAAAGGGAATAAAATAAACCTTTTCATATTTAGCTTTTGGTTACTTTTCTTTTGCTATTTTTACTTTTGCTCTTTTTGGGTATTGGATAAGCATCACCAAAATGTCCAGTGGCGGTGGGAATCGTGCCTCCGCTAGGTAGTCTTTTATTGTGTGCATTGATCTTTCCTCTTTCTCCTTTTTATTTTTGCTGGTCAAAAAGATTAAAGAGAAACAAACCAAAATAAAGTTAAACACTGATTAAGTCTTGTTTAAGCTATGTTAATTGCGAGCTTAGTGACATAATAATGAATTAAATCATGTCCCACCAAAAGTGGGTTTGCAATTGAATCATTGCGTAGCTTTTGCTTATTTTACACAAACGTTTTGTTGGACTTGGCTTTCGGTTTTTTCTGTTCCCTCGCTAGTTTCACATTAGTTTCACCGTCAAACTTAGTCGACTTTCTGAATATGTTGTATTTGCTTAGTCTCTGAATTCTTAGAAAGGAAACAAAATCATTGGTTTTTAGAAAGTTTAGCGTCTATGACGAACTTAAACGTGGACTCGGCTGAAATTCTAAATTCTGGGTGTCGACATGAAACTTAATTTCTGCATGAAGAATAGCTGTTGGACCCGAAAGTAAACATTCCCGTCTGGTTGTGCCTTTATGCATTCAGATCACCACACTCGCTTAGTTTTTTCTTACCATCAACATCACATACGTTCCTATGATGACTTTTTCTTCACCACGTTGACGTCGGCTTCAATTCCCTCTTACGCCATCATAATCACCTTATATTTGGTTTCCTCTCCTAATCAAAGTTTTTCTTTGTTTTTCCAACACAAGATCAAATTACGTAGGGAGATTTTCTTTTTCTCTATTGGAAGGGAAGATAAATTTTTCATACTTAATAAATATTCTTTAATTTTATAATTTTTGTAAGATAAAATAATAAAAACTAAATATGTTAAATTATTATATACTTTTAAAATTATTATATAATTAATTTACTTTAAAATAAAATATTCATCCTTTTTTTTCCTTTTCGAAATTTAATGCTAAAGAATTTTGAAGTTGAATTTTGAAAGAAAAAAGAAAGAAAGATATATATATATATATATATATATATATATATATTTTAATATAAAGTTAACATATCTCTTTCTGTCACAAATAACACTCAAGATACTTTATTTCGTCCACCTCACTCGAATCATATATTAATATATATCTTATAGTTTGAAATAATGCTACAAAAACATTCACGTAAATCACTCCATAGCGATACAGATTTAACCGTTTAGTCATCCATTATCATTTACACGCACATTAATTTTACTACCTCGCTCTTAACAAAAGGTGATATGTCCCAAGGTACTGCAAAGCAAGCATTATTAATTTGTTTCTTAGGTTGCTGCGTGTCGGTTAACGAAGAACAAAAAACATTATATCCTTTCCTTAAAATTCATCTTTGCAGAAAAGGATCACTGCATTGTTGTAGGCAAGTGATCATGCAGGGTCGGTACTACCACTACTACTAGTAGTAGTCGCATGTGCCAACAAAATGTGTCGAGGGATGATTGTGTCAAACAGATTGTTCGTACTACAAAAAGAAACAAAAGATCAATAATGTGATCACGAACTATCACAATAATAATAAACTTTAAAGATGTGTTCTACAAACAACTACAACAAAATAGCTCCACACCTGCTGAGCTAATAGTGCCAAATCAAACTACACCCGTACATATTAACGCTTAACCTATCCAAACCTCATTGTTTACACTCATACAATCAAGCATGTCGTTACAACATTATGCTCCACGCTTTTAACACTTCTTCATTTGTCAGGATCAGGAAATGAATAAAGCTACATAAAACACAAAAACTTTGTCGAACAATCTTCTTTAAGTGGAATTGAGGACGGGGAGGAAGCTACAACTTAGGTAAAGGATTGAACAGCAGAAGATGTGGTGACTAAACTTGATAAGAGACCGACTATGACAGCACTGTTGTAAGTGCTTGGTTCTGTTTGCATGGAATTGTTCCTCGAATCAATGAAAGTCTCATTTAAGAAGGGTCCACCAACAAGTGCTCCAGTTGCTACATTGGGATTAGGATCAGATGAGTCAAGCCACTGGAAGCCATCCTTGCAGCCAGTTTTTGCATCACTAGGAATTGAAGCCCCTCTATGATGCACGAATTGCGGGAATTTATCTCCATAACCCACTAGAAAACTCATATGCATAGGATTCTTGCCCAATACGTAATCGGCCTGGGAGTATTGCATAGATTTTCAATAAGGCATGGATCACTCCAAGCTGATATTCAGTGCAATAATAATGGATGCATACCTGAGATTTGGCAAAGTCTCGAAGATCTGATGGGGTAAAGGAATTTGAATCACATTTTAGTTTTGGTGTCTGCGATGTTAGCATATAGTCACTGTAAACAGCAGCTAAGAATGCAGAAGCAACAGGATGCTGCAGAGAGTTCCACTCGCTCACCCATATAAGACCACCTGCATTAGAGATAAATAAAAATATAATTCCAGAACATATAGCAGTAAAAGGATTATTCAAAAGATAAATCTCAAAACATTAAAATTATAGCGATCCAGGGGGATTGATTATCACAGGCAATAAAATAGTCAGCATGTCAATAATTTGATATCTGCCTAAAACTCCATTTAGGTAATTAGAAGCTTAAGTTTCCTAGCGGCTGGGCCTTGATGCACAGTACTGTTGCTCCCTGGTAACCATGATGCGTTCTAATATGCAAACAGCCTTGGTTAAATAGAAAATATATTTAAACTTTTAAAACTGAAAACACCATAATTCTAAAAATGAATTTGAAATGTTTAAATTTTAAAATATACTTATCCAGGAACATTGATTATCACGGGCAAAAAAAAAAAATAGTCAGCTTGTCAATAATTTGATATCTGCCTATAACTCAATTGAGTTATTTGGAATCTTAAGTTTCCAAGTGTGGCTGAGCCTTGGTGGAATAGCACTGTCTCTCCCTAGTAATCATAATGGGTTCTAATCATGCAAACAGCCTTGCTGCTCATGAGGGGTATGGTTGCAAACATAAGACCCTTTTAGAACCTCGCAACTAGAAGATTCTTGCACTGGGCACACAGGCATTTAATTAACAAGATGTGAAAATGGAATGTGGCAGGGAGAAAAGAAAAAATAATATTATAGGTTTAATTATCCAGTCATGTAGAATTCAAGGAGAACATTACTATCGGTTCTGCTTTTTGTGGCTGTTGGAGAATCTGGAAGAAGGCCACACATTACAGCCTCAGCTGTCTTCCTGTAATTATGGAGCCCAGAGCCATAAGAATTTGAAATGTCCTTTGCCTTAAAAAAGCTTAATCTGGATAACAAAACCTGCACGAAGAAGGCAGAATTATTCAAGGAAATATATGTGAATACAAAGGAAGATTTGGAATATAACTAGAAGCACGATTCTGAAAATAGGAATGCCACAAGACTCTCAATTTAGCTCAACTCTCTTCAGAAGACAGAGACTTTGCAATAAAATCTAAAAAGCCATTCTCTGTAGCAACTCACAAAAACACTAATGATTATCCTCAGTTAATAAAATAATGAATTAGAAGATTGAGCATTTCTTAATGACTTCAGCTGGGCAGTACGAACAGTCCTCGTACTAAATTTGACGAAAGCAACATGTTTAAACAGCATTGGTTTAGGTTAATTAACATATTAAGTGCTAAAAACTAGAGGGTTTGATGGAAATAATGCAAGTGTGCTATTCAGTTTTCATCCAAACATGAATTCGTACTTCATTATCCTTTCTTATACCTGAGCTCCAGCAAGCTTATTGTCCCAACTGAACCAGGTTGGGCTTCCCCATTGAGCATAGTCTTCTCCATTTTGGCCAGTCACATACTGAAGGTAAGAATCATCACCTGTAGCATGATAGAGCCAGCTAGCTGCCCATAAAAGCTCGTCACCATATCCAGTTGAGTTATAATATGTCTGGACTTCAGGTATATTCTCACTATAAGATCCTCTATGCTTGTCAGCAAAAGTAAACAACTGTTTTGAATGCTTGAGTAGAGTGCCTGAATATGTAGAATCAGTCTTTTTAAAGACCAAAGATGCTGAGGCCATGGCTGCTGCTGTTTCAGCTGCGACATCTGATCCAGGACAAGATATGTTCACTTGTGTGAGTGGTCGTGCCTCAGCCATGGCTTCAGGTCTTTCCCAACATTTGTGATCTGCAACGGGATCACCCACCTGCCACAATGATTTTAACAAATGAACAGTATAGAAAAGGTTTACCCAAAAATAGCTTGTTAAAGGCTTGAAAGTCCTAATACACAAATAGAGAAAAACGTTGATGAACTGGCCCCCGATCAAGATCACTTATCTAATCTCATGGCATGCCTGGACATTAACACCACAAACATTCCAATTAATCTTACAAAAACCAATTCTGGAAGAACAATAATATAGATCTGATTTTAAATTTAATCAACCGTCAATGTCACAGTTTTCCACTGTATGGAAACAATAGTGAGCCGCATCATAGCTGTAACTAAGAAACATTTTACACTTCTAGTTAAAGCATTTAGTTGTTTTTGAACAGGATGCAACGTATAATTAATTCACTGATAGTGTAAAACCTCCTACTCTGTCAACGGATCAAAATCAAATTCAACAGCTTAAGCATACAGAACATTCCAAGAATCATGGAGTACCCAGAGTGTCCATGTCCTTGTAAGAAAAGACAATAAATTTATGCATGTACACTGCACAGTTGCATACTAGCTAACTTAGGAAGGTGGCATGAAACAGAAGTTGTAAAACACCCAACCTGAATATAAAGAACATTATCAGAAGGGTGAGCAGTGATGAGATAATCAGTGATCCACTTGAGCGAATCTTGTGCTGGTTCTAACTGGCCAACAGCATCCATTTGATCTCCATATTCCAGAATGGCCCATGATAACACCGTGGCCGTAAAAGCCATCGGAAAACCAAACTTCATATGATCCCCAGCATCATACATTCCTTTCGATAGATCCAATCTCGCTTGGCTTCCATCCTTAAGAGCCGAATTCCCCCTCCAAGTTATTTTATTGTCAACCAACTTACCAGCTGCATGAGCCAAAAGGGTTGTTAAATCAGCTCACAGTAACACATCAAGAACAATAGACAATAGAAATTAAAGAGAAAAAAAGAAAAAAACAATTAATCACCATTCGTAGCATTAGCATACCATAACCATGAGTCAGATATTTAGGTAAACAAATAAATACCTTAATAACGAGGATTCAAAGAACCACATTGTGAAATATTGCAATAAAAAATAGGGAGAAAAGAGATAAACGTAAAAAAAAAAATACATTTTTGAATATCGAAGAATTGCAATGCAGTTTTGAGAGCAGATGCGTATTTCTGGTCAATGGCGCCAGGGGGACCCGGAACCGGAGCTGGCTTATCGGAGTGACCAATTTTCTTCTTGATGGTATAAACAACGGCACCGACGACGAGAGCCAGAACCAGAAGCGCCAGAAACCAACCGCAGCACCCTTTGGACCTCGATTTTTCTCCCATTCTTATTCAAATTGCAAAATGCGCTTCACAACACAGATCTATGTAATGTATGTTCAAACCCCAACTAAACGTATTGTCATTATTGTTGACGGACCACTTCCTAAAACGCAATGCCGTCTTCTTCTGACAACGACAACAGCTATCTTTAGAAGCAGGTTCGGTTTCAGACAGCACAACACCAACAACCTAGTACACTGTGCGGGAGGAGGTGTTGGATCTTGACCCGACCCGACCCGATACGAATGAGGTTTTGAAAATGCAGCGGAAATGGTGGCGACGCCGAAGAATGTTTCCGCGGGAGAATATGGGTTGGGAGGTAGGTAGTACCGGTGTTGTCTTTTGTGTGTTAAATGACGAGGATGCCCTACGAAAGGAACGTTGTAATGTCGGTGTTTTGAGGGTATAATGGTAAAATGAGAGAGTCAACAGATGAGTGATGGAAGCTGCGTCGGTGAGCTTGTGATAGATTTGGATGGACCGTAGAGACAGAGTCGCTGGGCGGTGAGTGAGAATGACCTTTCATCTTAAGCAACCACCGTAAACCATTCATTTTACTTCCACTTTAATCAAGCCTTCATGTGTCTCCCTGAACGGTGGGGATTTTATTTTACACTTTCATAACTTTTCTTCTCCTTTTAATTTCATTTCAGATATTTTTGCAAAATTCACACGTAAATTATTTTTTTTGTGTGATTAACTTAACGTCAAATTCACCGAATCATAATTTTTTTTATTGTATTATGGTATATTCATTATTTATCCATTTATTTCAGAAAAAGAAAAGCATCGTAATTTTAGACTAATAAGTACGGAATATAAGATCAGACATGCGTTGTTTTTGTTTTTTGTTGGCATGAACCTAGTCATTTTGATCAGTTGATTATTTTTTTGTTCAAACCTGATTAGTAGATCATTTTTTTGCACGATTAGTAGTTTTTTTTTTGTCTATTAGCCGTAACATAATGGGCCAGCAACGATACTCTTTGTGGCCCAACTTTTGTTAGCTTCCTCATTGCCAGGAATGTACTCCAAAATGGCAAAAGTCTTTAGAGCTAACGAATATGCTACATTGTTAAAAAAAAAAAAAAGTGAGTTAAAGTTCAGGATTGTAAAAAACAAATTTTTTTTTGAGAGTGTATATTTAGTTTTTATTTATTTATTTTCATATATTTTGTTAAGAATAAATGAATAACACTTACGAATGCAGGAGTGAGTCGTGGTGAGATAATAGATAACACATTGTACATATAAAATCAAATTACACTCACGTGGCTAGGAAACACATATTTCAATTTACTTAATTATTGTTAGCAAATACCCTTCAAGTATATAAAATATTTTTAAATAATAATTTATTTATAAAATAATCATCGACAGTTAATCTAAGTATCAAGCGGTTCTATTATCGCTTAAGATTTTGAGTTTAAATTTAAAGATGAGTCGAATTCAAATTAAATCTGATAGAAAAATAAAAAAAATATATAAAATAATACTTAAACTTGTAAAAAAATTATATAAAAAACATCAATTTATGTAAATAATTCTATTTAAAAATATATCCCATTTAAAAGATATCTCACTTTAAAACCTTTAGTTTTGTCATATTTTTTTTAATTAAATGGAATGGATCGATGTCTACTAATTTTAATTTAATTTTATATTATTATTTCATATAAAAATAAACACATTTTTTAAAATTATAAAGTAAAACAAAATGTTATAAAATAAAGATTTATAAGAATGAATACTTATAATTTAAAAGCTTAAATCTGTAGTTGGGTTGGGTTGAAATGAATTGAATGGGTTTAGTAGTAATTAGAGAGAGATGAAGAAAGTGAGAAGAGTATCGAGCAATAAGGGCGAAACAGAAATCGAAGCAACAAACACACAATACTGTTACGAATTAAACATCTCTCTATAATTTCCATTTTTCTTTATCTCTTCTCTCTCTCTCTCACTCTATTTTCCCTCTCTCAAACCACGTAACGGCTAGCAGTGCCATATCGGCGACGCCGGTTTCCCTTCGCGCCGGCGCTGAAGCTGTAAACACGTCTCATTTTGGATTCATACTATATTTGCTTTTTTATCTTACACTTCTCAGGTTTCTTCTCTTTTCTCGGTTGCTTTTATTTTTCGATGCATAAATTCAATTGGATATGCTTTACTGTTTTATTACTATTAGCATCGGTTTCGTTCAGTTTGAATTCGGTATCCGATCGTTGTTTTACTTCGCCCTAATTCATGTTATTTTTTGTTTCGAGCCAATACTGTCAATGAATCGCGTTTTCTGAAGTTCAATTAGCTATAAGATCATAGTGGTTGCAGTGTAGATGAAAAAGGAACCTATTTTGGTTCCAATTTGCATTGCAGAAAGTGATTTTACTTGTAGAACGCCTTGACATTATTTAAATGTCCCTTGTTTGATGAATATAGCGAAATTCGTGGCGACCCTAATATTCTGCATGAGACTCTGAATCTTGTTCAAATCTAATTTGTGTTTTTTTTTCCCTCATATAAAGGTGCGTGTATTTGGAGACTCATAATTTTTATTCAGTTTCGGCTTCTTCGAAGTTGGAAGCTATGATGTTTGGTTTAACTGGTTTTGTTTCCTTTTCTTTCTATGCCAGGGATACACAATGATAGGATCCTTTCTTACGAGGGCTCTTGTGTATGTTTTAGGCTATACTAAAACTCTGATCATTGTTGTATGATGGGTTTATGCTGTAATATTCAGAATTGAATGATTTTATATTTCCATCTATTTATTGGCAGTATGGTTTTTGGCTATGCCTACCCGGCCTATGAATGCTATAAAGCAGTAGAAAAGAATAAGCCAGAAATTGAACAACTTCTCTTTTGGTGCCAGTACTGGTATATTGCACATCAATCATCTGGGCAAAACTTACAAATAACTGTTGGCATATACCAATATCTATTTCTTCTCTTACCCCTCGTGTTGCAGGATTTTGGTAGCTGTTCTGACAGTATGCGAGAGGATTGGTGATACTTTTATATCATGGTAGGGAATACTATTTTGGATGTGTGTGGAGAATTCTATGTAATTTTAGTAATTGAAAAAAGAAACAAGTGTAGTATGCAAAATTATTTTCTTCATGTTGAATGAGTTATTCTTCTTGAAGGGTCCCAATGTATAGTGAAGCTAAGTTGGCATTTTTCATTTATCTATGGTGCCCAAAAACGAAGGTATGAAATTAATTACTGTGGTAAAATCTGATATTGCTTCATTATTTGCTTCTCTTCAGCTTGATGGTTAAATTTGTTATGATCTGTGTTAGGGAACGGCGTATGTATATGATTCCTTCTTTAGGCCATATATTGCAAAACATGAGACAGAAATTGATCGCAACTTGTTGGAGCTAAGGACAAGGGCAGGAGACATTGCAGTTTTATATTGGCAAAAAGCTGCTAGTTATGGTCAGACTAGAATATTTGACATTTTGCAGTATGTTGCTGCACAATCAACACCTTCGCCTCACCCTGCTCAGGTAATACTTGGTTCACGTATGATTCGGTAGACTTTGGAGAAACAATCGTTTTCCTCTTGTGTCAGCTTCTTAGGATAACTTTTGAAAAAAATTAAACGATAACCTGAGAAATAAGCTTTCAAAAACATGCTGGAATTATGTTCCTTCACTTGCTTGCCCTTCATTCTTTTGTTTGTTTATTCAGGAATATTTGATGTGTTGCTGTTCTATTCCATGTTTGGTATCTTGATCAATTAACTCAAATTTGTAGAATAATATTTGATTGGTGAAATTAAGATGGATATTTTTATGTTTCTTATTTGCTGCATCAAATGCCATCGTGATCTTTATCTCATTTCCTTGTTGTGGCAAGTGAAAAATATTATTCTTCAATTCACAGCAACGACAGGCTATGAGGGTTCGTCAGCCTACATCTAACCAACCAGCTTCTGCGAAAGAACCACGAGCTAAGGATCCATCTTCTCCCACTTCTACCTCATCCAGTCAGCACCAGAAGGAAGTAGCAGAGGAGTTGGGTTCTTCACATGTGCCTAAAGCAGGCCCCTCCGGAACAGGTTTAAGTACCCAGCAGTCTAATCCTTTACATGAATCGACAATTCAATCCGTACCTGCACAGGCAGAGCCAATGCAGATTGAAGCAGCAGTACCTTCATCCTCTTCAGCAAATGAAAATGAGAACCCTCCCACGGAAGAAACACTAATGGAAGAAAGCATTAGGGTTACACGAGGTAGACTAAGAAAAACTCGATCAACTGGAATCCATTAGGGAATCAATATTTTCAATTTTAGCCTGAAAAACATGGGTTGGTGTCATTGGCGGGTGTGGAATTGTAAAAAATTATGTAAATAAGTTCTCGGTTTTCATTCCCTTCATTGTTTTTTTTAATAATTTAAAAATTTCTTGCAGTATTTTCTTTTCTATCGTTCTTATTTATTAAATGAAAGTGTTAAATGTTGCTTTTATGTTTTAAAGATATTAAATATATTTTTCATTTAATATATTTTAAAACATTAATATAATTAATGAAAAAAGTATTATATTTTAAAGTAATATAAAATATTTAAACAAAGATTAAATATATTATTATTATTATCATCTAAATAGATGACTTGCTTATAAATGCTAATATTATACTTTTTGACTCATTATATGATTGATTTATTTTTTAAAAAACTAAAATGCTTAATAAATTAATTACTTACTTTTTAAAATACTAATCTATAACATATGCATTGCAAAATGACATTAACTTTATAAGTTAAAAATAATTTATGTTTCTCTATTTTTTGAAAATTTATTTTATTTAACTTTTTAAATTAAAAAATATTTATTATTTTAATTAAAAAATTATTTATTTTCTATACTATTTTTTTTTATCAAAACTAGAACCTTAATGTAATTAATTAAACTTACAGACTAGTAATATAAATTTCAAATGACATTGTTAATACTTTTATATGCCTATTATTTTTAAATAAGTGATTTTTAAAAAAGTATTATTAATTTGATAAACTAAAATAAAAAAGATATTTTAAATAAAAAAATAAATTATATAAGTTACAATAATTCTATAAAAGTAGTCATACACATTTTCCAAACATCAATAAATAAATTGATTGACATTTATGAAATTTATCAACTAATTTTACCTTTTTTTATTTATCAAGATCCAAACTGATTGAAGGAATCAATTTCGAGGAATAAATTCACGCTTTACTCCGTTTTCTTATTGAATTAAAAAATCTTGCAATTAACGAAGATATATGATGACAGATCATCAGTGAGGGAAAAAAATGTTAACAAGAACTTTGGGAAAGTCAAAATAGATTAACAGTAATTGTCAAAATGTTGATATACTTGTAATGAAAAATTGTTTGAAATACGAAGATGAAGGATATTACAAGGATTTATAGTATTTCTAAATAAATTTTAACAATAATAATTTTTTTTCTATCTATTTTTATCGCATCACTCGTCTAACTTTTTCTCTTTCTTCTCTTATTATCTCTTTCAAATCTGTAATATATATATATATATATATATATATATATATATATATATATATCAAAATAACTGTATAAATAACATTTCTCTATTATAACTGATGTTGCCAAAAACAAGAGTTTATAGGACACAGTTATCCTAGTTAAGGCAACTGCTGATAAAATAAAGGCAGAGAGCTAAAATTTACAGTTTGAAATGTACCCTCCGTGTCATCTGAACAATTAGTAGTCTATCTCACTTACATATTGATCACATCTGTCAGCGAAGCTGTTGCTTGAGCAAATGACAAACCCCTACTGGGTTAATCGTCTTGAAGCTGATTTATCTGAACCAACCCGCTCATTTGCTGAACCGTAAGCCTTTATAAGCAGGATACCTTGCATCCTCATACGGGGGTAAAATCCAAGAATCAAATTTATGTAATATTAGTTAGAAGACATTTTACCCCACAATTCAGTTAGGTTCACACCAGGATCTGATTGAAACCAATAGTCATCGTCCATCTGCAAACAAATAACACAGTAACATAATTTTATTTCAGTTTTTAGTTTTGAATTTATCATTTAGAGCTTAAAGGAATGCATACTTCAAAACCCGTGGGAGTAATTTCTTGAATTCCAAATGCATGTGACCCCAGCGAACTGAAACTCTCAGAAGGATTTTCCTGATCATTTTGGCTTTTTAATAATTCCACACCCCCCTTTATGCAGTGGTCACTGTTCAATGATGGATCTATTAATTTCACCCGCTTGACACTATCATCCTCAAACTTGCCGGCGTGCTTGCTTCAAGCACGAAACACTAAAGTTATTAATGACTTAAGACACAGAAGGAAAAAACGACGGTAAACCAACAATGAGCGAAGATATTAACAAGCAAGCACGGAGAGAATAGTAATAATGATCAGTTATGGCTGCAGTGTTTACAGCGGAGAAGTACCTCAAGAGGTACAAATATATTGGTCCAGTCGCACTTCTGACAATCATTTTGTACTGCCTTTGCCGGAAACCTAATTCCTGCTCATTCGATTGAGTAATCAATATGATACTTGTTATACCAAAGCAAGTTTCAAATCCCACATCAGTAGAAACCCACCTCGTCAGGATCAGGGACCTCAATGAAACTAGCTTTTGGAGCCTTTATTGCAATAATTTCTTGATTCTGTGAAAATAGTAGATAAACGTAAGTCGATAAACAGACTGCTGTTTAATGTTTAGAGAAAACTGACCTGGAAGCATGGAAGGTTAAGAATATCTTCCTTGGTAAAAAAAAGGTACCTAATGATTAAGCAAGCTTACTATCAGGTAAAGAAACTAAGAAATCGGAACTCAAATATAAGTGAAGTTGTTAGAAGGTCCGTACTTTCGAGAGTTTTCTCCTTCTTCTAGGTTTCTTAGAAGCTCCTGCTTTTTCCTGAAAAGTTAACGTGGCAATTGTTTTTAAAAAACAAATAGCAATAGAACTCTTCAAACACTATGATATTAGCAACAAACCTTATACAATCGTCAAGTTGGCATTCCTCAGCATAGAGACTATCAACTTCAGCCTGTATTGAATCAAATTGTCAGAGTTGGACCAAATCACTTGCATGCTGCAGTATGTTATGTCGTTAAAGATGGCTTTAAAAGCCTACAAGCAACATTTATTAAACTGAAAATGAAGACCAATTACATCAATCAAAGCTCAAATAGATGCTCGCTATAACGTCTCCAACTCAGCTGCAAAGATATATATAATCCGAGGTAGAAACACCGGGACCAATAGATTCGCTTTTATTATATGCAGTTTATACGTGGATATCATGTCACATTTAGATTTTGCCTCGGCCAAGAAGGTAAACTAAAGCATGATAGGATCTATTGTTGAGTAAGAGACACATTAGCTATTCAAATATCCACGAAAAAAGTGATAATTTTATACGCCTATGCGGCCTCAAATTTTTCTTTTGGCTTCAAGAACAATTGGCCTTGTGTAGCTCAAGTTGCACCTTCTGTACAAGTACCTACAAATCTTTTGGATATGGGTACTCTATAATCATATTACAAATCTTTTTGTAATAAATATAGAAAGTTAGAAACCAAAGATTCCTTGGAGCAATGTCTAATCAGATGGTTAGGAATGTGATGCCAAGAAGACATCCAAGATTCCTGTAACCAATGGCTTCAAAAGAAGTTAAGTAGGAGTTCACTTTCACCAATATGGCCATATGAAAAAACTTGAGTGAAGATGTTTACAATTAAAAACAACCATGCAAGCTGTCTAAAATCAGGAGTTATAGAATACATCTGAACTAACTCACAAGAAAAAAAAATCCAAAAACCTTAAGACTATTAACTTGGTCTTCCAGTTCTCGTGGCCCATGTCCTTCGCATCCCCTGTTCATAAAGCCCACTATATCATCATATCATATATGTGATAAAAAACAACAAAGTAACATAAAAAAGATTAGACATTTACTTCCACCGTATATGATTCTTTGAAGTTTTCTCTATCAATCCTATTCCTTCAAGAACATTTGTAATGTCATAAATTCTCCTTTTCTGAACCTGCCAAAATTAATTTTAGACGTATTATAAAACCAAAAAAAAAAATTGTCAGGAAGCAGAAGTATATATTATACATTTATACCAATAGCGCGACACGAGTTACCATTAAACTAACAGGACCAGGGGAAAAGCTCAAAATAAGCCCGGTAAAATCAGCCAAGAAAAAAATGAAAGACATTTTCTATACCTCCAAAGTCTCAGCGGTTTTATTTAGATCCAAGGTACCATCCTTAGCATCCTGGATCAAGCTGACAAATTTCTTTGTTAACAGTCCTGCCCAAGGTACATGATATTACTCTATTTTAAAAAGACCCACACTAATAAAGACACTAGTTTAAAAAAGCACCATGGAGGAATACTTAGTGTAGACATACCTAAGGAACTGTCATAACGACAGTTGTTAACTGCAGTCAAATTAGGGGAGTCTGATAGGAAAAATTCACCCAACATAAATTCAAGCAGAAAAAAAAAATTAATGTGAGATATCGATATAACAAATTACTAAACAGTTTGACAGAATCATAGTCTTAAAAGATTGTTACCTCCATTTGCTCTGTGAGTCCCAGATTTTGCATTTCTTGAAACTTTTAATGTACCATTTTGCTTTCCTCTTGTGCTAGGCTCAGTTTGAACCAGAGGAGGAAAGTTAGCTGTGGTGCTCATAGTAGGAGCTAGTTCGATATTACTTGCGTTAGACGTTAAATTATTGATCTCATATCTTTGACTCAGCTGCATGAATAGTTGAATGCAAACATTTGAAGTGTGAACTCAAAAAATTATATTTCTTATATTTAATTCATGAACAACATAAAGATAAGGGTCACTTGAGCGGAATATATAATTCAAATATAAGCATATACAGAGCCAATTTCAATACTTTTAGAGAAGAACAAAAGAACAAAGTCAATACAATTCGTTTTCATTTGCAATAAGTTGCAGCGTTATTTCCACAATTCATACATAATAAAGATGATTGAAGCAGAACATAAAAGAATTGACAGTATGTGGAGATGTTAAGATTAAGAACAATAAATGAACAACTACGAGTGCAAAGTGCAACAAAAGTATATATGGCGTCGAAATAAAAGGGAGAGAAAATGTGATCGGATTGTATTGTCTGAATGAGATGATGTCATGGAAATAAGAGCGTGGGAAGGGGAATGCAATAGTGGATGGAGATAGGGTTGATCCTCACCCCAAGTCGACATCAAAACACAAACACTGAAACAGAACAGAGAGGGTTATCGCTGCTATGATAATTGGATATTTGGATTGGATTCGTTAACACTGTTAGACGAAACAGAGTTCGATTGAAATCAAATCTTCAAATATGTATGAATGAGGTTTCGTTTGATGACTCATCAAATTCAGTGGCCGCCAACCACAAGCGCTCTGTTCAGTTCGAATGCGCATGCCACCCGCCTTTTATTTTTCTTTCCCTCCCCTTCTTGGGCCAACTCCTGGGCCTCGGCCTCTTGGGCCAATATCTGCTCTACTGCATCAGTTAAGTATGCATTGCGCACAAAAAAAAATCAGAAAAAGTCAACCCCGTATTCAACTTGACTGTGGAGAAGCTACCTGATATCCCATACGCACCAGAAATTAACATCGCCATGGACTTTTTTCCTCCATTTTTTGCATGCTCTAATTCTTTTAAAATAGGAGAACCAAAGATTTTTAAGTCAATTAGGTGAAGAGGAATTGGAATAATTGACGTTAGATATGGATGATGAAAGAGATCAAAAAGAAGGAAAAAACTTTAGTGCTCCAAGAGTACATATTATTTTCTTTAAGATTGCAAGATCCACCTTTGTATGATTTTTTTTCTTAATTTTTTTTTTAAATTACGAATAAAGAAGTTACCATAGGAGTACCAAAATTTAATCCTAAAAATCAAAAGTTGTGGCGATTGTCAATTAGACCTGCAACGCATACCTTTTTTTCTTTGGAATTAGCAAAATGAAAATGAATATTGCATGTGTGGAGATGATCAAGGAGAGGGTAAAAATTTGATGAACAAAGTTGTCAATAGATGATAAACTTCGATCAAGAAGAATGCAAGAAAGAGAAAACTAAACTAAAGAAGAATAAGATCAAATCATGAAAAGTCCAAAAGCTGACGCCATTTAAAAATGAGGATAAAAACATGTGGTAAGTGTTTACAATCCATTACTTTCTAGACTTTTACATCTTCTTTCATATTTACTACCAGTACCATACCAAGATTTGAATTCATAAAACTAGCTTACCTTTTATCTGTTTCTGATATGTAAATAGTACATCAATGGTACATTACAAACTTGCTATCAAATTTCTTGATAGAATCTTAGAGAAAGAAAAAAAGGTTAATAGCATAGAAATTTAAGAAAGCGGCATCAAGTTTAAACAAAACGTGCAACTAATTCAGCATGAGATTGCATGTTGATCCAAACAAGGGTTTGATTTGGTGCAGACTCTCCGAACTTGAGAACCTTAGCTTCCGCTATTCAAACTTCAACTGATATAAATATGATATCGAAGCAAATGCATCGGTCTAAAATATTATGAACAACCTAAAGTGACAATCTGCGACTGTGAATCATTTATGGCTGCAATGTTTACAGCAGAGAATCCTCGTCTTTTCCTCCCCCAAAAAAAAAACAAAACTCAATTCCTTTTGTATACGAAATTACTATATTTCACATGCATCAAACACATTTAAATTATTTACATTAAAATTATGTAAATAAAGTATTATGCATTTGTGTGAATTCAAAATATTTATGAGTTAGAATTTTGTGAACTTAATTTAAATTTATATATATAAAAAACAACCGTAAATCTATTTAAATTAAAAAAAAACACAAATTACACCTTTATTTTTTAAAAAGTGCTTACAAAAAACTTTTTAGTATAACTTTTATTATTGTTTAAATTTATTGAGAGATAAAATTACGAGTATCATGTTTTATTTAATGAGTTTCGTTCTTGATCTTGTAGTTTTTAATAATTTTTAAGTAAAAGAATGCTGATAAAAATATGTTAAAAAAACACAATACTAATAATTTTTTTAAAAAATTATCAAAATAAGAAATAACTGCTTTATTTTAATTTTGACATTATATTTTACTATAATTAATTATTAATTCATTTACTTAAACTTATATAATTTATCCTCTCTCTTTTTATTTTTTTTTTCCTTTTTAAAGCTGTTATAAGTGTTAGAGAGAGTTCATAAAAAATTCCTCAATAAATATTTATAAAAAATAATCAATTTTATAAGTAAAAATAAACCTATACACTTTAATTTTTTTTTTTTAAATTCCATCATCAACTTATCCATAAATTAAGTATTTTAACTTATAGAAAAAATAATTAATTTTATACCATTATTTTAAATTTCCTTTTCTTATAAGTTCTCATCGAAGATTGTTTTTAGCAAAATTAGCTCTTAAATAACTTACATTCCTCTTTTATTCTTTTCGCGGCGATGATGATGGGGCTAAACCCTCTCAAGGTAATGATTTCATGTAAAGTTAAAAACATCCATAAAAGAAGAAAGGAATAGGATAGAAGAAAAAAACACGTCAAAACAAGGATTATAGATGTAGATGAAAAAGAGATTGAGATTACATAAAAACATTCTATTCATTTGATGTTAAAATTTTAGCTTTTTTTATATCTATAAAATTGAATGGAAAAACTGTTCCACCATAATCATTGATAGAACTAGTTTGTCAAAATTGAATGTATATTTTTATGCAAAAATGACCTCATCCTATTCTAACGAGTATTTTTATAGGAAACAAGTACAAGACACAATGATAATGTCTTAAGAATCAATCATGATTACACCAAACCTTCAGTCTAATGATAAAATTCGACAGACAGAATGCTGAACGATTCTCATTCATTATCATCACCACGTTTTACATCCCCCAAAAGTTTACCTATATATCATAGGATGGGAGTACGGAAGCCATTAACCTTTCAACTTTTATAACCCACCCATGTCTGTTTGTGTTCCAATGTTATTTTTCTTGGATAGACAATATAAACCATTTGGTTTGGACCACTATTCTTATAGTCCTCTGGATTTTAACATCCAATGGAGAATTCTACTGTTTCCGCTAAAACTTGCCAAAAGAATGCCAATCATTATAGTCTTAGCTTCTAATCTACTGCCAATTGGTAAATAATCATATGCTCTTCCAAATCATATTAATTGATTAATTATTTCAACATAAACAAATACCAAAGATATTTAGAATGTGGTTGTGTCAACGTACGAGCGTGTGTTTAGTTAGAGAAAAATACAAAAATTAATTCAATTTTACTTGGTTTAAAATTTTTAAAAAATTAAAAAGATTGAGTAAAAATTTTCTTTCTTTTTTTAATATTCAGAAATTTAGAGAATGAAAAAAATATTAACAACTTTTTAATCGTACCAATTAAATTACCTTAAAATTTTGTTTTACTTCATGCCTTTCTTTAATATTTAAAAACATATAATAGTATAAAAAGATATTTCCTTTCTTTCTTCTTAATTCCCTTCATTCTATTAAAATATTCTTTCTCTATTTTTAATCAAATATAAAAAATCTTTCATTGTTAACTATATCACTTTCTATGAGTTTGATCATTATTTAACTAATGTGTTAATTATATCACTTAAATATTTAAGATTTACACTCACAATGAATCAGTCAAATCACTTAATTACTCATGCATAGATTAATGAAACACATCTAGATTTTTTTCATTTATATCATACTTGGTAAATAGTTTAATAAAATTTAGAAATAAAAATGAGGTAACTAATCATTATTATTGAATTAATGTTTTTGAGAATATAAGTAGTATATTTTCTTAACAAAATCTCTCAGTTTTAATTAGGTGTTTAAAGAAAAAAGAGTTTAAAAAATCTAAGAGATGATACATATCTCTTGTTTAAATATTTAATATTAGAAGAAACAGATTATAAAAAATTTAATATGTAAATGACATTATTATTTTTTATATTTTTTATTATTTTTTTAAAGATAAAAAAATAAATATTTTTCTCTAAAAATATTTTTTAATTTCTATTTTTTATAATTTGTTTAAATATTTTTACTCTTAAAATTAATATTTAAAAAAATATTTTTTGTTTTCTTGTTAACTCAAGACTATACTAAATATTTAATCTAACAAATAGAAATATAAATGATAAATTTTATTATAGGAATGATTAAAACTCTAAAATGAGAAAACTAAAAAAAATATTAGAAAAGTTTAATTTTTTTTTAATCTTTCTCCTCATATTTAATTAATTTTTAATAAGAGTAAGTGATTATTAACCTTTCTCTTCCCTTTCCCGATCTCTCTCCTCTTCCACATAAAATCCAAATAAAGTCGTAAATTTTCCAATCTCTTAAATAATAAGTATTAAAGGAAGAGTAAAAAGTATTCAATATCTTAAAAGTTTTAAACTACTTTATAATTTGTTATAAAGCAATTCAAAAATTATTAAAAGATTGCTATTCATTATATGACAATATAAAAAAAAAATCATAGACAAATTACTCGAATAAAAGAAATGAACATGACTATTAACTTGCAACACCGACCTGCATGTATGTGTGCCGATGTGTTTCTTTATTTGCCGTTATAATTATGTTACCTCGCCTGTAGATTTTAGGGGTACAAAATGATTTGGATTTTTTTCGAATGGTACAAAAAATGATTTAGATTGATTGTGACAAATATAATATATAATCAATCACACATAGACACTTAAATTTTGGTAAGCTTATTCCTGAATTATTCACATTATCTTTGGCAAGTGAAAGCAGAAAGTTTTGCAGCATTGATGAATGTACATGAAAGAAAATTTTAGAAAGAGGAGGAATTAGGTCAAAGTCACTTGCTTTAACGTTGGACATGTTTATATGGGTTCCACATATGTTACAAATGATTGTTGTTGGAGATCCGTCAAGGTTTTATATTAAGGGCAAAGTGGATCGATCATCATTCTTCTTTTAATAATCTTAACATGAAATGATCAAATTTTAGCTCTATCCAAAGCCCCCGAATTTGCCACGAATTAATTAAACAGATTAATACCACTACTGATGAATTAGCTTAAGATGTTAATTGAACGTAATCAACATACCTTAGCAAGCAAACTAGATTGGGAGGACAGGAAGGGCATGCAAATGATTTGGGCACATGGGACTCCTTACTTGTCCAACACCTTTTTGGCCATCCAATATGGAATATAATCTTAAGCTTTAAATGGTTACCCTTTTTATATATACCCTCTAGAAAGTAGAAACCAAACCATGCCCATAATAACTAATATTTGAAGAGAGTGTCAAAAAAAATGTACAAGCACAACTCACATAGTGGAACAGAGAATTTTGTTGTCATACAAGTAAGAGGAGGTAGTGCCTGTGAAGAAGCTTTTGGTCTTGAACAAATCCCTCAACCTAAACCAAAGTTGAACCTCTCCGCCATGAAGCTCTTTCACCGCTTCCGCAAGATCTTCATGCGCCTCATATTCTCGGTACCTTCTCGTCGTTCCTCGGATTCAAAACACAAATTCTCTGACCGGTTTGAACCACCCAAGACATCATGTAGCTCCTATTACTCCTCTTACTCGCATTACAACGAGGCCATTGCAGATTGTATTGAGTTTTTCAACAAGTCAGCACAAGATGGTATCTTGGATGGTCGAAAATCTGACGTTGTTTGAGTCTTACAACCTTTGATTAATATCATGTGCCTACTTTGGTTGCCATTGTATGTGGTTCATTACTTTTGTATTTTTTTCCTCATGCTATAGTACTGATGGGTGTATATGGATATGGGAGCATTGCATTTTGCATTTTGCATTTTGAAGTTACTTCAATTCACCGCCTTCTTTTTTATGTCTAAATTAATTTTTCAATTATACTTCAACCTTGGTTATACAATGTAAATGAGGGAGAATAATGTCAAAATGCTTGGTGGTTCTTGGATGGGGTTAAATTACTGACGGTGGGTTGTGTTCAAAATCATAAGAACAAAGGATTAGGGTCCACATAAGACTAAGAGAACTTGGATCTACCTATCCCAAATTTCAGCCAGATAGATATTTCCCTGACAAGCATAACATGTCACGCCCAGATAAGAGGAACAAGCAACATAATCTAAATATCCCATCATCAATAAATGATAAAAAGGGGTTATATTATGCATCTCCAAGAGAAGTACCACATTAAATGGAGCCAGCAGTATGTATCTTAAGGGGCCACTTTCTGGGTATCTTATGTTTTTCTCTCTAATTTTTCTTTGAATATTTCTTGGCTTTGGCTAACTGACGTTGGAGTATTCTGACGTGTCCAAGTTATGTGCCAACCATTCGCTAGAACAGAGGTAGGACGTAAAAAATAATATTCAAATTGATAGGTAAATCAATCTTTGGAATACCTTTAAATAATATCAAATATGGTAAAATTATTACCAAATTAAGACATTAAAAACTAAAATCAAACAAAATCCAATCAATTTGAATTGAATTATGAACAAAAAAAGTCTAAGATATGCATAATTGAACTCTTTAAAATAATTATTTTACAACATATTTATTACATTAAAATGTTATGAAAAATAATACTAAAAAATATTTGAAATTTTAGAATTATTTTTTTCATAAATATAATCATTTTATTGGCTCATTATCTCTGTATAATAATGTAGAATACATTCGTTTAGAGTGGCTTAATACCTTAGTCTGTCTATTTTTACGTTGTAATTGTAAATGTGAGCTTTTACTTTTCAACACGAATATTTTTAAAAACGGTTTTACCTTTTTTTTTCTTGAATTTTGGAATATTTCTAAAATATACCCCATGCTTATGCACATCTACACACACATTTAATTACAGTAGTGTTATACATTAATGTATTGTTTAATTTTAAAAAGGAGGAGAAAATTGAATTAAAGAGAAAAAAAAATTCATTGATTAACAAGAAGAGAGAAGAAGAAATAAAAAGTATAAATAAATGTATTATTTATGACTAGGATAATAGGATGATTAAACAAAACTAATAAGTTAAAGATAATTTAGTCTAATTAGTATAATTCTTTTTCAAATCTCTCAATTTCGAGAAAAAAAATTGAGTGAGAAAAAATTGTCTTCATCTACGCTTTTCTTTTCTATTTCAAAATATTAAACCAAATAAAAAAGTATTATTTTTATCTTTTTTTTTTCATTTTCCATTTATTAAATATCACGAAATTATTTTTAGCGTTATTGTTTAATTAAATTTAAATTTTTATGTTAATAATAATAAATTTTCTTTGATAAAATCTTACCCATAAATATTAACTTTTAATGATAGCTTTTATTACCTAAATTATATATAAAAAAAATTTTAATAAAAAAAATTAAATATAGTGTTGTAATGAAATTTTATTCATTCGAATTTTCGGGATCGTACAGAACAAATATATTTTAGTCCTCTGCAGAGCTGATAATTATTGGTGAAAAAATAATGTCAGGAATACATTTTTTATAATTAATTAAATTTTTAAAATTGTTCAAATAATTTTTAAAAAGTATTATAGTAGTTTAAAAAATTAACTTATCACTAGAATATATTAAAAAGTGTGCATACAGGAGTATGATGCTCATTTCTCTTCTAACTTGTATACTAGGCCTGAGTTTTGCTCTCATGTCATGAAGTGGAAGAATAATCGCTCTGCTATTGATTCTTTTGGGCTCGTGTGTAAAAGAAAACGAGCTTGAAATTGTATGCTTTATTACACGAATCACACTGAACATGAATGCATCCAAATTCCGCTAGCGTGCTATATTTTACGGGCCATTTGTCATTGTGCTTACAGAGGACATGAAAATACATCTATTGAGGCAAAAAAACACAAGTGAGAAAAACGAAACTTCTAAACAAAATGCAATTTGCAATTATTGTGGTATTTGAAAGCATAATAAAATGGATCATGCAACTTCTTGGCTTCCCTTTTTCCTTGAGAAAATGCCTCCTATCAGTGGAATCAATGACTTCTTCTTCTTCCTCAGAGAAGGGTGCCTTTCCAACTTTTCAACCCCGTGTTGCGGTAATGTCACGTGCGACACTGATGGAGGATTCGCGAACGTCACGTACCTCTTCTTTTGAAACTCCATCTTTTCTTCGTCGAATCTCGAACTCTTCACTTCAAACGTTGTCAAATTCTCAACGAACTTAACATCCTCAATTTCCGTTTCCACCGCATGTTTCTCTGTTTCCCCTTTCTTCAGTTGTTGAAGCTCTTGCTTCGTGCGTTCAAGCTCTTCTTGAAGAGAAGACAGACAATGCGCCATCAACATGCTTTCCTCCCTCGCCCTCTGCAAGCTTTCTCGCGTCTCCTCTAGCTCAGCTTCAACGTTCTCAATTCTCGAACACTCAACTCCATTTTCCATTGCTCCACTCTGTATCTACAAATACACATACACTTAACAGCCAATTAACCTAATATAAATAATAAGTAAAATCGTATTTATTTATAATTTTTTTTGTGTTTTTTTATGTATATGTATACCTTGAGCAATAAAATAATGATCGTAACAAAGTGTAAAATTTACTCCATAAAAAAAGTGGGTGAGGCGAAAATTAGATTGTTCATTTTGATATACCACATGAAAGCTTGAGATGTACACAATAATAGACTGTAATTAAGGTATCGTCCGTGGAAAAGCAAAAATAAAAGCATGAATTAATATTATTTTTCTCGGCCTTTATTCCGTGACACGACAAAGAAAACAAAACACACAAATAAAAGAAAGCACATGACACAGTCTGCAACTGAATAACCATCTGTATAGTTTCACCCTGTTGCAAGCAAGCATAAGATTGGAGCAACGTATGGGTCGGTGAACTTTCAAGAAATATATGTTCTGAATTCCTCTTGTTGTGAAGTTTAGGGAATAACACTTCTTTTAACTCATTCTTATTTATTTTTTAAAATGTATTAAAAATTCTAAAAAAAAGAATAAAAATTATTATATTAAAAATAAAACACATAATTTATAATAATTTTTAACTAATAATAATCGTGGGTTTGGGACGATATGCTACTAACATTTCTTAATCACTAGTTCTACGTTGATCGGCAATGGAAATTTATGTGTAGTCTAGTTTCCAGTCGACACAGACTTGTGCATTAAATGGGAAAAAAAAATGTTACTATTAGTTCAGAAATTTTTATTTAAGGCTCAAACATTTGATGACTAAGGGTAACCAAACAAATGTTCTAAGTGGAGTATAGCTTTATTTGTCGCATATCATATAGATAATTGAAGTAAGCAATATATAGTATTTGATGATTAAGTAATCTATAGGAACCTTTTTGAGCTTGTTTGCAGTAGCATAAACCTCTCCAGCCAAAACTTTCTCACCGAACAATGAAACGGCCTCTTTGACGGACCGGAATGGAGCTCTTGTGTCTATCTCTGCCTTTCTTGCTAGCATGACACCATTTTCCGTATTCATGTTTGTGTTTGCTTGCACTATAACGGAAAGAAGATGGTGTAGTTAATTTGACAGAACAAACAAGGGTGGCTATTTATTTGGGTAGTGAATGCATGTAGAGGCCGAGGCAAAAAAGAGAGAACAATGGGAAGGGTTGGTTAGTAGGAGCTAATAACGAAGTACTAGGATTGGACAGAGGAGAGGGTTGGCATATATCATAGGAAGATTGGAAGCTTCGTTTCTTCGCGTCCACTTCACTAGAATTCTGTTATGTTTGGGGGCGAAGCGGTGGGTAGAGTGGATGCTCTTGGGTCTTGTTCCTGTGGATGTTGGACCTAAAAATGGCCCGAAATTTTATATATTTTTAGCACAACTCTGAGAGAAGGACTCTTCACTGATAGCCAACTTCAAGAGCCCCACTAGGACTTGTCTTGAAGAAGCATGCATATAAGGGAAAGACTCAATAGGCATTTACAATTTGTTTTATTAGCTGAAGATTTTTAATATACACTGTTGTCCCATTGCGAACTCACCAAGAAACATATCCCACTCACATGCTTTCTTATCAAATGGAGAACTAGATATAGAACTTGAAATTTTGGACAATAATTTTTTGTATATCCACTCTCTTTTACACTTTTTTATTTACATCTCTATTTCTTTTTTCTTTCTCCCTCTCCCCTCCTCTCTTCCTTACATTAGATATAAATGAAATCTTATATAATTGAATATTTAAATTTATTATTACTTTCAACCTATATAAATATAAAAATATATTTCTCAAAACAATTCTAATTCATCAATTTGAGTAATATTATATCTGAAAGAAATTCGAAGTCTAGACTTTTTTAAAATTACACTATCTAATAATTTCAAGTTATAACATTTAAAATTGTTGAAATATTCTTTAGTGTACGAAAATAGTATGACATGCTGTATCTAAAATGTAATTAACTCTGATTCATAAGAAATATTACAATTCGTAAACCTTTCTATGAATAGAATTTTTGTAAAATTTAAGTTCTACAACCATTTCAACAATTTCTCTGATCTCACGAGAACATCAAATTTTTTGAGTTTATTGTTTAAAATATTTAAGAAAAATAAACTATTTAATTAATATTAATAATATAAAAAAGACAACTTAAAAAATTAATTAGACCTTAAGAGAGAAAATAAAATTAAAGACTTGTTTCTAAGAAAAAAAAACTATTTCTTTTTTTGTCAATAAAATAGTTATTTCTAATGTTCTTATTTTTAATATTTCTTAAAAATTAATTAGTAATAACTTTGATCTATTTAGGTTGAGAAAAAATAAGTAATTTTTTTAAAAAATCACGGAATTTTCTTACTTTATACAGGGATGGTCCCGTCGGCTTCAGATTTAGCTACCCAGCCACTCTACCGCTATTTGGGTTTCATGCTCTACAGACAAGATATTCCAAGTTATGCGCCACGTCAAATAACGTGACAGGTGTAGCAGTAGCACAAAAACCGAGTGCATGTAAAATACAACAATGACAAATGTTTCCGACGTGCCTTGTCTTTTTACGTTGAATTTCAGAATTCACATACGCTCATCACATAACAATTGCAGCGATGGGGCACCACTACTACGGAACCTACCTTTACCTTCTTCACATAGAGAAGGAAGATGAATGTCAACCCCATTTGCCCTGGATCTGGATGGGGGTGTCAACGATGAAGCAAGGGTAAAGAGCTGTTGCCCAGATATTGAAGTGATCTTGGATCCAAATGCTTCTAGCGATCCAGTGGAATGTGGAAGGATGAGTTGAGTACAACTGTTATGTCTCCCACTTTGCCAACTAGGATATTGGGCCCTCCCAATACTGCAATTTACAGCAGACCCACCTTGAGCTGCTACCTGAACCGCCCAAAAGCTTTGGTGCTGTTGTTTATATGGAACTGTCGAACTATAATGTGTTCCACGTAATGGAGTACCGTAATAATGTGGTTGCTGCAACCGAACCTGCAGTCAATTAAAGCAATACTGAACACGGCTTGATGTGATAACAAGACAAAGGGTGCCGTTATATGAAGGATATAGACTCCAGCCTATTTTTCAAATTAAGATGCTGGATAAGGAATTGATAAATAGATTAGAAAGCTTTTTTGTTAAAAATCGGATGCTTCATTAATATTATGAATATTTTTTAATAATTTTTTTAGTCTTAATTCTTTAATTAGTGTTGTGTTAGTGGGGCAGGTTATTCCAAGTTGACAACGAACTTTAGCCGCCTCATTAATATCATGTTGAACAATATAATCAATTACTTTAAGCAATCTTTCTAAAACTTGACCATAGACTTTGAATTGCACTAATTAATATAAGATTGTTAGGATTATAGCAAATAATACCTGTGGTCCAACAGGAAGCTGATCAGGGAAAGAAGTGGAGGTGTACTGACTTTGAATGGGAATGAGGCCATGCTGCTGTTGTAGTGACTGAAAATAAGGCACTTGCGATTTTGACAATGGTTCCAACTTACTTTCGCATTTGTTAAAACTTTCGTTGACTTTTAACTCATTACCTCCAGTCGACAAGGACAAGAAGTTGAAACTCTGCAGAATATGAATGGTCATAAGGGCCTGAGGTAAAGAGGGGCAAGGGGAGGCACCATTATCAAAATTATTCATAAGCTTACTTGCTTGTGAGGACCATAAACTAAAGGTGTTGCAGGAGTCTGAGTTATGTCATGATAATGACCCTGCTGCTGAAGAATACCATTCTTAGTTTCATGGTTATTCGATTGAGCTGTTTCAGCAGCAGAACTATTCCCAGTTCTCATCCAATTCAAGTTTTGTGGTTCCATTAGAACTTCACATTTTGATCCTTGTTGTACTCTACTTTGATGACATTCATAAAGCTCAGGTTCTTTGCCTACGTGTCCTTTTGGCATTTCTAAACTCCGGATGAGATGACTGATGTGAACATGAGCTGCACACCTCTTGCGTGACTTTTTATGAATAACAATTTCGGAAATCTGCAATTGGAAATAACTAATAGGCGTTTGAATGAAGCACATTGATTAGGATGAAATTTTTTTATTACTATATAGGTGAACTAAGCAAAACAGCAGTACGCATAAATTTGTAGTTCCTTACCTTTCCATCAGATGAATAACTTTCCATCAAATCCTGTTTAGAGGCACAAAAAGCAGTCTTCAGCCATTCTGGAGCTTTAGCAACGGAAGACCTTCAGAAGAAAAATCCATATTAGGACAAAAGAAGAGAGGGAATGAGGGATAAGGCTGCCTAATAAGGTCAAAAATAAAGTGGAATAAAAGAAATTTACTGCAAAACAGAGGCACTAGTCCCCGAAAACGGCCTTGGAGACAAGCCTAGCCACAATGCGGGACCTTCTGGCAAAACAACCACAGATGTCTAGGTGTTAGCCATCTGATGAAATACTTAAGCCTATACTTTAGTCATCAAAATAAGAAAATTCATTGCTAGTAACAAGCACACTCTGTTCTCGAGCATACCAATTTCTTGTTGGTACTTGATTATATGTTGTTCTTGCTTACAATCACTGCCTCCGGCCTGAAATGTAAGCCGATATCACCAATAATACTAGCACTAGCCGGTGAGACAAGAATTTTAGTGAAACTGTACAAGTAAAAATGATTACCGTCTGAAACTCCACATCCGATTGCCTCCCAATCAGTGAAATCTGTGATTGTGTGGGCACATTTAATCTGCAATATGATCAGAAGCAGGTAAATGGAGCCTGAATTGGACGGGGGTATACTATAAAGTTTTCCGAGTATAGCTGAAAAAACTACCCACCCCATCTCCAGAGACAACTCAGGGTCATGCAACGCAACTTTTCCAACATTTTCACTGCTAACCATTATAGGCACTGCCTGCAGATTTATTTTTGGAACACTACTGTGAGTTGCCACCAAGAACTTTTCACTCCCAGAAAAAACAGTCTTTTCATCACCAATGGTTTCATTCAAAGAACTGATTTTTTCACATCTTTCCCCAGCGCCTGTAGTAGATACCGAGGCTAGAATACATATCCCAAAAGAATAAAAATATAAAATTAGAAACTTAGGAGTACATAAATTAAAAGCTACTAAAAGTGCTGTGAGGAAGTGAAATAAACCTTCGATAGTAATAGTAGCATTAGCACTATGATTCTCCACTTGGTCCGGCAAAACCGTGGAGTTCACTGGTAAAGATTCGCCGTCTTGTTCAGTCCTAGAACTGGAGCCATTATCAGGGAACATTCCAGCCAAGGCATACAGAGTCTCCACAACCTCTTCCTCATCTTTTGTGATGGGCCCCGATAAAACTTCCCTCGTGGACCAGTCCTTGCTTCTTCGTTTCTACAAAAGCAAAACCACGAGGAAAAGTGAACTTGAAACGGTTAGAAAACGAAGCAAAGGTTAAGTTTTGAAACCCAAACACGCCTTACAACACTCACTCTGGATTTCTTTATGCTATCTTTTTCGGGAGATTCTATTCCATTCACCTTACGGTTCACCTTTTCTGAATCAGTTAGCATGGATTCGCGACTCCGCTTCTTCATGGCTGTAATTTCACGAGAGAGAAAATCTACACCTTTTTATTTCAGCAAAATAAATGAATACTAACAATTAAATATCTCCCGGTAATTCATTAAAAAAAAAAATCATCGTTATCTTCAGAACGTATCGCACACTATATTGAATAAGCACAACACTCTCTAATTTAAATTAGAGAATAGAGGGAATCGTGAGTCCCGTCATTCTTATCCGAAATCGGCAACGATAAATAATTGCGAAAAAAAAACGCGACATATTTGAGTCTGAATCCAAAAAAAAAGGGCACCTGAACGTATCTTCCGTGGGACAGAGGCATGATCAACGCCATTGCAGTCATTAATAAACTGCAAAACGATTACATTAAATATTTTTAAGAAATAAAAATAGAGGAATTGAAACGAGCGCATAACTAACTACTATTACTACCTTTCTAGGAAGCTTAAATTTCTTGGTAGCAGCGATAGCAGAGGCATTCGGTTTTTGAGAGTCGGAGACACGGCAACGCATTTGGTGACTAGATAAAGCTTTGGCAACAGCACTCAAGCTTCTCACCTTCTCTTTCTTTGATTTCTCCGAAAATTGAATAGCATTGAAACCTATTGTATCTCTCCGAGGGGAGAGAGAGGAGTAGATATTTATTTATTTATTTTGGCGAAGAATGAGAAGAGAACAAAGAGAGAGGCATTATCGGAAGCGACAAAAAGAAATAAAATAAATAGTTAGAGCATAAAAATGTGTGGTAAATTAGTTACCCCCGGAAGAAGGAGATTGAGATTGTTGTTTGTTGATGTGTCTTTTGGTGGTTGAGAACCCACTGCCTCCACGCATCGCCTCTTCGCTTTTGTCCATTTCCATATTTCCCACTCACTTCATCGGAACCGTTATAATCACGCCGCCGAGAAAACCGCTGTGAAGTGTTTAAGGTTAGAAGAAGTGAAACTGTGAAAGACTGAGACAAAAAGCTAGGCAGCAATGAGAATGAGACTGTGGCACTCTGGTGTCTACGAAAAGAAAAAATGAAAATGAAAAAGCAAAGAAGAAAAGTAATTCGTGCCTTGTGTTCAGAGAATCAGGTTCTTTGTGAAATAAAGTAAACAGATTGAGTTGAGGCAAAAACTGCAGAGAGAAAGGGATAGAGAGAGGTAAATAAATACTGCTACTCACGAGAAAAGAAAGGCAACGGAAAGAAAAAGAAAAAGGAGGCCTCTCAAATGTCATGTCCGTGAAATTTGTATTTGTAGGATGGATATTATTTATTTATTTATTTATTTATTTATTTATTTTCACACAATAATTTTACAATTTGTTTTTGCATTCTTAAATTTAGGTTGAAATTTTTGCAGGGTGAAAGGAATTCCGAATCCCACAATTAATTAACATAATAAGATGGGAATGGTGTGGAATTGAATCGCTGGGTCCGAACGGAAGGAGGGATGAAGCAAAGTTAGATTGAGAAAGTCAAATATAAATTATTATATTATCAAGTTATGGGTTGGGTTGGGTTGTGTTGGTGCGCGCCTTGAATTGAATGCAACGCGAAACAACCACAGAGTCTCCCTCTGTTCAGTTATAGCTACTCACTCTTCCTTCTTCCATGGCATTAAAGAAGAGCTTGTTGGTTGTTCTCATTGCATGTTCGTTATGTTTGTCTTTCCAGCTATTGTCATGCCACAAGCACCAGTGGGAGTGTGTGAGAAGCACGTGCGAGTATGAACACAAGTTTCAAGTTTTATGGTACACGTGCGGAAGGGAGGGTTGGTATTGGCGGGATGTGAGGGATCGGAATTGGAGAGCGTTGAAATTGCCATTCGCATTGGCATTTATGATTCATTCTCAGCGGCAGGGATCATGTTTCTTGCGTGACTGCCCCATCTCTCCTTTCTTCATTCTTCACTCTTCTCAATTTTAATCCACCCTTCAACTTCTTATTGCTAATTACTGCATCCATGTGCCCTTTAAGCTCCACCCTTTTAGACCACCTACTTTCACTATGTTATTAAGTTCAAGAGCTCTAATTCACTTTTAACGTTTTTATTGCCTTAAATTCATTTTAAGTATTTCTAAATTTATTTTTTTATTTGTTAATAAGTTATTATGTCTCATTTGTATTTTTTTAGGTTAATATAGAAAAAAAAAATTATAAAACTCTTACCCTATTTTACTTAACGGATCCTTACTTAAATGAGTGTATTTTTTATTTTTTTTCTTATTAACTCAGAATTATTTTATTTAACTAACCGTCAAAAAATTATTTCTGTCGGGAAAATACCAGGGTAAACATGTCAACGAACTTCCCAACACACTTTTCATTATTCTATTAATTTTACACGAATCAATCAAACAGTTTAAAATGAATTTTTATTTAATTAAAATGATGAATAAAAAAAAAGTGCATGAAAAGGTGTACTGTTACATTTTTTTCACCAACGTGACATTGTTGTAGCTCAAGCCCAAAGGAAAATGGGCAATAAAGGATCCAAATTGTAAATTGAGTGACCATGTTTTGGGCTCAAGCACAAAGTTTTGCACAACCTTGAGTTGAGAACCTAGATAACTGCAGGAAGATGAGAGATAAGCGCTAATAGTATTGACCCAAAAAATAAAAATGCTAAGAGTAGTGTCGTCCAGGTAGGAAATGGAACGTATATGGTTCGAGGGAGAATCATGATTATTGGCCATTAGATATATTAATTAAATATTTTTTAAAATGCCAGTCATCAGAATTAATTTTAAATATATAAAATAATGTTTTTATTAAAAAAATGTTTTATATTTTTAACTTAAAAATTGTAAAATATATTTACAATTTTTGTAAATACGATTAAATTTAGTTTTAATTTTTTTAAATATGACTTTTTTTATTTAAAATTTTAAAAGTAGTTTATCTTGATTTTTTATTAACGGTATTATACCACTTGCCAACTTATCATAGTCTTTTGGTGAAACACGTTTATATCCATGTTAATACATAATCATAAGGTACTAGCGGGGACAATTTTTAAAAAATTATAAAAATTAAAATACTAGAACTGAAATTCATTATATTCTTAGACATTAATAAAACAAATTTAAACTCAAATACGTTTTTTTCATAAAAATGTTTTCATTTTAAAATACTTAAATCAAGTTAGAATAATTGCTATGAAATTATTGAATTTATTGTCCTAAAAACCATAGTTTAGGCTGTTTCAGTGATTGGAACGTTATTATCACGAAAATGATTTTAGAAATTTAACATTCACATAGTTGACATAAAATTTGAAAAAATTATTCTTTCGGACATGATGATTGTTTGGAAAATGACATCCTTATGCTTGATTTGATTTTGAGTTTTACGGTGAAAGGTGTTTACGTTTTTAATACAAATTAATTTGAAGAATACTAAGGTTTTAAATCTATTTTGGTAAACATATATAATTCTAACCTCATATCCCACTAAATATTTTAAAACGAAATTATTTAATCATTTAAATAAAAAACTATATTTATTATTAAAATATTATTCTAATTTATAAATTATGTTTTGAACTAATTTTTATATTAATATTATAATAAATTTAAATAAAAGGACAAGCATGTTACTACACTTCTTTAATTAGCCGGGGTGCGGATACAACCCAAATACCCAATTATATATCGGTTTTGTTAATTATATAAAAGTAAACTACGCTCCTTTTCCCTTCTGAGAAACAGTCTCTCTTTATTTTATTTTATTTTATTTATTATTTTAGGATTTTAAGCAAAAATTTAAATAATATTTTTAAAACAATGTTTAAAAAATATATGTTTCTAATATTTCTCAGAAGGAGTTTTACCAAGTAAATAAACTAATAATGATGTATTAATTAAATCCTGTCATTAAATATTTTAATACTTGATAATTAAATATTACTAATAATTTTAAAAGATTAAATAGTTTTAGATTTTTTTATTATAATTATTTTAAGAAATGTTTTTTTATTTTTATATCCTGAACCAGTTCTTAACCGTATTCCAAACTCGTAATATTTCTCATTTATTTATAACGTATTTTTAAATAAATTAAAGGTAAAAGAAATTTACTCTATTAAATATAATGTGTTATAATCAAAACACTTAATGGTTAAGAATTTAGATTTTGTTTTGATATTCGATTTTCAGCAGTACTGTAGGCCACTAAATTTGTGGTCTTTTGTCTTTTCGTAACTTGATAAATACCCAAAAAAGTAAAATAATAAAAATCATAAGTCATTGAACTTTTTTCTTATATATAAGTTTGATGATACAAAAACAGATAAAAAGGAGGCATAAGAAGAACATCACACTACAGACCAGAAAAAAACAAGAGTAATACAAGAAAATTACCTTCTTTTTTTTTTTAATTTAATCATCATATCATATAGTATATTATCACACTCACAAACGCTCGCAGCGATTCAACAACATGCATTGAAAACGCAGTTTATTTTCCAAGACATTTACGGTTGGCATCTTATTGTTGTATTTCTTTGTAACATATATCACGAAATTGCAAAGGATATTTATAATTATTGGTATTGGGTATATGAAAGATGGAACTCTAAGGGCACTTGCGTCGGCCACCGTGAGTGGTGAGGCTGGCATAGCAGGGGCACACTTCTTGGTTACCGGAAGTACCCGGTGGCACACAGTTGCACCGGCTGCAGCAAGTTCCACAGGCTCTATGGCACATGCGCTGACGAGATGCTAAACGGCACCTCGCAGTACATGCTGCATTACAATCTGAAACCAATTAATTAATCAAAGTTATTAACCCATTAACTACGTTTCGTCCATAATCCAATTTAATTAAATAGAATCAACACACAAAAAAAGTTCATGCTCAATTTAATTTATATTTCAAAAAAACCGTGCTTAGACTGTTTGATAAATTATATAATTAATTAATATGTTATATTGTTGATCATGATAAAAAAATCATATACCTATTTGCTGAAGAAGCGAACCCTGAGTCTGTGCGTGTACCTGCGGGTTCTCAAAAGCACGTATAAAATAAGTTAATTAGATTATATTTATATTTCAAAAAATTGGAGCTCGTGACTAATTATTCTATACAGGTCATGAATCACTGGTATTGAAATGAAGAAGCAGCATCCTTAATTAAATTACCGTTTGATCATCAGCATCAACGAAATGGAAGAGAACAAAGGAAATAAGAAGGGATGCAAATAGAAGCTTAGAGAGAACCATGGCTTATAGCTATAGCAAAGAGAAGCTTGAAGAAGTAATATTGTACTTTGACAATGAAAAGTGCACGGAATGAGAAACTAGGAGCCTTTATTTATAGTTAAACGATAACACTACAAACAATGGGTGCTAGCTTGCTTAAACTCTTCAGTGTGCGTGTAAAAAAGATTGTTATATAAAATAATTAAAATTCATAACATATAACAATTTTTTTAAAAATAACCGTTCTAATCTATTTATTCATTTTTGGAATTGCTATTAAAAAATATTGTGAATTTAATTTATTTAAAATAATTATTATCACGATAATAATTATGGATAAGATAAATGAATACGAATTAATAATATATAATCACAAGTATTGTTCTGATGCGACACGGAAGAGACCCGAAATTGAAAGTTATCAGTGACTGACGAGGACATTTGGGAGTGAGAAGTGCTTTTGGAAGCATCGATGGGAAGAAATAAATAAAAAGAAAATGGTGATAAAGTGCTTTGGCTTGGTGGTAAACCATTCCAAAGTCTTTAAAAGGGACCAGCAGCCCTTCATTAAGCCACAAACCTACGTGTCTTATCTTAATTTTGTCTCTAAGCCAATCGTATATTTTTAGACTGCATATATAATATTATTTAATAATGATTAACGAGTCAAAGCGCGACCCTCAACATTTTAAACACTATTAACACAGTAATCTTCTTCAGGGATAACGCTAAGCATATTTGTTTGCTTACAAGTACGATTGGCCAATCAACTCAACAAAAATAACTTAATAATAATGGGATAATAGAAAAGCTTGAAGCTACATTTGATTTAACTACGCAGCTACGCTTTTGGCTGGAACTGAAGCGTGAGCGCATGCTATGCCATTTTAAGGACTCAACGTTAGTGGCTACGTATTTTCTTGGTCAAGTCGTATATATAACATCATATCATAGGTTCTAAACGTAGTATTACCTAAACCTAGCGAATTGAAGTTGATTATATGAATGAGGCCCACTGAAGGGGGTAATTTTGTGAGACTGGGTTGCATTATTGGGGAAGGGGGAATAGTGGACGAATATAAGGAAGAAAGGGTTCGATTTTTTGAAATGCATGCACGGAAAACTACAAGTGCTGAATTATTATTATAAGAGCCAAGAAATTGTTAAGTGGCTTGCCGCCAACTTAGGCTTTGGGAGATGGTGATGTATGAATTTGGATGAAGCAAAGTGGGTGCGAAATAGGGAAGAGAAACTAGCTACTAAAGTAAGCTGAAAAATAGGAAAAGAGATACACAGGCCAATCCTGCCAGCTGTATGCTTTGGTGCTACAGCTGTATTACGGTAATATGAACTCTGAAGGATTATCTTTTGTCTATTCTGTTCAATGCCTTATATACCAAACCAAGTTGGACCTAAGGACTAGAACCAAGAAGAGTTTAAATTAACGGTGCTTTTTTTTTCTTATTCTTTAATTGAAAACAACGTTTATTGTAAAATAAAAATATTTTTGAGACATTTTAAAAAAATTATGTACAAAAATGATTTTTTAAATAAATTTGTACAAAACTGAAGCTATTTTTTGTTTTGTTAAAATTATAAAAAAATCAATAAACATCATTTGTTAATTAGCTTATAACTTTGTTCGATCAAAATAAAATGTTTGTTAGATAAGCTCGTTTTGCTAACTGAACAATTTTTCACATACTATCAAAACTTATACTAGTAAAAGTTGATTTAATATTAAATTATCAATTTTAAGCTGAATTTAAACACCTATAAATAGTACTTTTATTAATAAAATATAATATTCGTATTTTTAAAATAATAATATTTTTTTTATAAAAATTTGTCACTTTTAGTTATTTGTCTTTAATCTTAAAGTTGATGTAAATTTTTTTTTAAAACTATTGATGAGTAATGTTTTTTTCTCGTTGTGAATATTTGTTTGAATATATTTCAATGAAAAATAAAAAAATAAAATCAAAGTTTTTATTCTCTCGACTAATTAAAGTATATTATAAATTTAATTTATATTAATTATCATATAAATTAATAATTTTTATTGATATCATAATTTAGGAATAAACAGCGTATAAAATTAATTAGTGATTAATTATAGGCAACCGCCGTGCATTGTTTCCGAAAAATACATACTTAACATTTTTTTTTCGTTTCACTAATTCAGTGATACAATTTTATTGCATTTTTGGGAAATAATTGGACCGCTGGTGCGTAAAATTAATCTTCATCCATCTTTTATTTTATTTTATTTTGGGTCATGTCTTCATCTCTCTTCTAAACGAACAGTTGTATATATATTGGTGGGGTAGAACTCACGAATCTTAGAATATGTTTCGAGCTATAGATTTGCTGTCGGATACCTTCAATTTTTTTGGTAACAAAAAGGTTTTCATGACTCGGTCCCGAAGATCCATCAGTGTCTGTCAACGCGATTCTCACGTTAATAATGAAATTTGAGCCAGTATTTTTACGGATACGAATTTAATTTTTTGGTTTACTTTTTTTTTCTTATAAAAGTAATATTTTTCAAGATAAGTTTTTCTAAAAATTATTATTAAAATTTAGTTTTTAGTTTTTTAAATTATAAAAATTTAGTCGACAAAATCAACTATCTTATGTTAAAAGATGAGATAATAACAAAAATTTAGTTCGTAATAATTATTTTTTTATATTTTATTATTCTAAAATTAATTTTTACAAAACAGTTTCTTAAACTTTTATATCATTTTAAAGATTTAATAACTAATCTAAATTATATTTTTGTATCCGTTTTTCTCTTCTTCACCGTCAATTTCTCTCTTTCAACCGTGAAAAATTAACTTTACCTTTAATTTCACTCATTGCTCTTCAATTTCATTTACGTTCTAGACTCAAATTCTCATCATTCCGAATTTCATGTTCCTCCTCCCCTTTCCAAAACAATACCCTTAGTTCCATCAACACTAATAAAATCCTTCACTCAATAACCCTCTCGCTTGTTGCTTTCACACTGCCCAGAAAAGAAAGTTTGTGTTGCGTCTATGCAGGGTCATACTGCTTTGAAGGCAAAAATTGCAAGATTCAAGTGCTTGTGGATTGAAATAAGGGGAAGGACTAATCCCCAGAAGGACCAACATAAAAAAATTATTAGTCCATGTTACGACAAATTAGAAATTGTCCAAGCTTATCCATCCAACTACTCTGAACTAAGCTAGGGTTGATATCATATATTGATTTATTATGCATTTAGTACCTATATTTTAGTTAAATAAAGCTGGTGCATCAAATGAGACAAAATTTTTAGAAATATGTATTAAAACAATGAGAATCATGCGACATGAACATCTTCAAGGTCATGACAAAAATGACTCATGAAAATTACGAGCAATATGAAAATCTTTTTCTAAATTTATAAGAGGTAAGATTCAATTTGCTTTCACTTAGAAAAGAGTTTGCTAGTTTTTCCTATGATTTAATATAAAATAACATCTCATAAAATGAAAAAATATATATATAAGTGAAACTCAAGTGTTTGTTGGTTGACATAAGAGAAATGACTACTTCCTAGACTGACCAATTAGGGAAGACGATATTCAAGGTAGCATCATTACCACATCGTGATTCATTAAAATTTACTATAAATATTATTAAAAGATAAAATTTTAAAATATAATCAGTTCATTTTAAATTCACTTTTAATAAAAATATTTAAAATTAAGTTTGAGTTATTTGTCTAACTTTTTACCAATAAAAATGCATTTTATATGCAGTTAAAATAACTTCTAAGATGAAAAAAATTATAAATTCTTCAAATAGTAAAGCCAATTCTAAACGTGAATTGCATGTTACAGTGTATGTTTAAATATATGTTAACAAAATTTATAAACATTTACAAATTTAACGCAAAAATTAAAATTAATGGTGTTTAAGTAAACTTCTACTAAACATACACGTGAGCTCTTGGGCTGCATTGATATGATATGTGTAACTTAGTAAGACAAGGTTTTGTCCGAGTAGAGCTCTGGCATATACCCTAGGCTCCTCCGTTTGTTAAAATTGATTTCTTTTAAAACCAACTTACGTTTGCTCGTATCCAAACGAGTACTTAATGTATTTGATATTTTGATAACTTTTAATTAGTAATGGATTGGAAATTTTTAAATTTTAAAGACAATACCCAGTATTTAAATATGTGAGGACAAAGCAAATACATATATATACACATAATACTAAAATATAAAGAAAAAGTTTTTTTTTTTTTTTTTTTATTGGTAGGGACAATTGTCCCCAAAAGCATTCGTCCGTCCCTGCTGTTAACTACCAATACTAACCTGAACTGATCAAAGATAAATTAAAATTCCACAAAGTTACATATGTTATATTACATTCTCAACTTTGTTCACTTAATGACCGCAGATAGATAACATATCAAGATCCTCAAGCTATGGTGATTTCCTGAATGCTGCATGTTGAAGTTACAGTGTTACACCACTCCTGAAGGAAGTCGAAGAACAAGCTGTCCCCCAACAAGACTGCAGCCAAGGAAAAACAAAATTAAGTCAGAAAGTTTTAAAGAGTATGTTAAGATTTATGTTGCATATTCTCAGAATTCATTATCCACCTCTTGACGTAGTAGTAGCAAAAATCTGCCAGGATGAAAGTTTGGACAATTTCTGATAGAAGAACCATTGAAGGCCACAATCCGTAACCCAAAGCAGTTAGTAGACGTCCACGAGTATCTAACACCTAAGGAACACAACCCAACCATACTCTCTTAGATAATAAGTTAGTGTGGATAGGCTTCTCATCAAGCAAGCACAGGAGAAGAAAATAAATTGAATGAATGAGGTAAAATGAATCAAGTTTTTCACACGAATTAAAATCAACTTATGCACTTAAACTAACTTTCTTTAAAAGTCACTTTATCTAACTTTTCCACCAGTACGTGTAAACTTAATAGAGCTCAACATAATTGCATAAGAAAAATCTATGGTAGATTGTACAATTGAAAATTGAAGGTAGAAAAACTAATAGATAAGAGGCCAAAGTATATGGTCGGTCCTATCTTTCACTGGATATTGAAGGTTGACACAGGCAAAAGACATAACTGGCAAGCCAGAGGTATTGATGCCAAAATTAAATATGAAAATTCTCTATACCACTAAATCTGTGGGATATTATGAACAACTCATTTACATATTTTCAGAATTAGCTAATATAAAAACATCTTAGCAATTCAAATTCTGACAAACCTGAAGGACCCAATGTGCACAACTCAAGAACCTTGCAACTCCAAGGGCAAAAACATAGTGTGCTGTGAATGGTTCAACAATCTGAAAGTTGAATTAAGAGTTAGCAACAACTGTATTTAGAAAGATTAACTGGCAAGGGAAGCCGTAACAAATACATCATAATCACCGTTTCAAACAATTAAAAGGTAATATACTAAAGAAAAGATGACAGGCAGAAACATATATCTAAAATACCTTTGTGTTCTGCATGACCCGCAGCTGAGGGAGAACAGACACAGCTTCAAGATAAACACAAAATGCCCAGAGAATCCTATTAATTGTATGATGCCGGGTTGTTGGGTGAATAAACAAGGACAGCACTGCGCAAGGTATCACCTGCATTTTGGCAAAAGAAAATTAAAACACTCCATACCATACTACAAGCAATTGAATCTTCCATTCATTTAGTCAAGTGAAAGATAAATATCCCAAGTTCTTATGACAAATACTTTCATTTTAGAGATAGTTACATACGGGTAAAGGGAAAACTGACAAAAATAGTAAAAAATATTAAGATGAAATTTCTGTTCCCTTGAACCCATTTTAAAATTTAAAAATGTGATTCATCAATAAAGATTTATAAAACAAACAATTGAACTAAGCACTCCTCCAATATCATCTTCACAATCAGGCATAATCTCTGTTTTTGAACAGCAGAAATAACGGAAAACATATTCAAGCATTTCCCCTACCTCCTCTTTTTCTTGAAAACAATGTTCCTTTCAATGGAAAGGGAATGCACACACAAGGAATCATCAACAAACACTACATACTAATTTTTAACTAGAGATGTCGTATCCATGCAGAAAAGTATGCAGAAGAAACCACATTTTCGACCAACTACAGTTTTGTAAATAATGCCAATCTGAACAAAAAAAATATCTATTTAAGTGTTTATCAGGCAGTAGATGGTTGGAAAAATTCAACACTAGAATTTGACAGATGCTTAACAGGAAGCCCCATCATAAGCAATATTGCTAAATGAAAGCAAAAGAAGAGGGAAGAAATATAGCCTATAGACTTACCACATAGTAAATTGCAAGGTTGTCCTTATCATCCATATAACTAGCTTTGAGTTTGAGGCGTATCATATAAATGACCCAGAGGGTCGTCACCAAGGTAGCCATATCCAGTATGGTGTGTATATCATATTCCATCACAAAACTGCAGTATAGTCTAACAGCTAGAAACAAAGCTGTCATCTCCTGCGATTTAAGCGAAAGTCCTGCAAAGATTTAAAATTGCCCGTTACATGCAGATATATTAGAAAAGCATCGAAGATTATTTTCTCCTCATTTCATTTTCCTTTCATGCATGAAGCCAAGAAACCAAATTTTGTCAAAATCATATAAAAAAAAATCACATCAAGCAACTCGTTATCTACTTTCATCCAAAAAGGAAAATGTAGAGCAAAATTAATCATTATTGAGAATGTCAATTTGGTAAAAGTTACGAATTATAATATTATTTATATATTATATATTTTCCAAAATTAAAAAAAAGGTGGGCATTGAAGGAAGGGATTGGTACCGGCACATGTTTTTTCCTTGGTGAGTTTGTAAATGAGGACGGAAATTCCTAAAGCATGGACAAGCTCGGCTACGACGAAGAGGGTGTCGTGGTCGTGAACGACCATTCTGAGGAAGAGTAAGGCTGCGAGGCACGATAGCACCGCCAGAAAGGCCTTCATTTTGGGTGGTTGTCGGCGAACCCATGTCGTCATGGTGTGGATCGCCCTCTTGCTTCCCTTCATTTTCTCCGATTATTTCTTCTCTTCTCTTCTGTTCTCTCCTTCCGTAAGATAAATCTCTATCAATCTTACTAATCTAAAACGTGTTCCAACTTTCCAATGTCAGATTGTGGGACACGTGTCAAAAATTTTAGCGGTGCGTGTTTATATTAGTTATGCGACGGGTGGGTTTGCTCAACGACCCTGTTTCGCCATTATCTCCTCCGTTTATCTTGCATTTAGGATCGTACATCTCACGCCCCACACTCCCAAATGCCCCATTCTAATTTCGTATTAATGACTACAAGGATAATAAATGTGTTGACCAAAAATTAATATTCACTTTCTTCTTTAACCTCAACTCCAACAACCTTTTTCTTCGCAATGTATTTCAAATGATTTTTTTTTTTTATGACAATAAATTTTTTTAAAGAATAAATGAACAATAAATGATAAATACTCTTTTGGGTTGATATCGATAATAGTCTTAAGATGTGTTTGAATTATAATTTAATTAAATATTTATTTATTATATTGAAATTTCATATTATAAATTTGATCATCAAATTAATTAAAATAACTGAAATATTTTATTTTAATAAACTATCAAAATTAAAAGAAAATAAACTAAAAATAACTTATAAAAAAAATATAAACTCTCTTAATAAATGATTCATTGTACAGTAAACTGGCTGGGATCTCGACACTGTTCTCCTAATTTTGAAGTTAATGCCTATTTATAAATCTTAGACACCACTTTCAATATGGATTTCATGGAATGAGTTGAAATCCATATCTGGCTTATATGCTGTGTCACTTTGCATATGCAAGATTACCTAACTGAAAAATAATAAATTTAAGCTGTTGTTTAATTTGAGGAAATATTTATTTTTATATTTTTACTTTTTTATATAAATCTTTAAAAAATAGAATAAAAAAAGTAATGATTTTATACTTAAAAAAATAATAAAAAATCAATCAGGCCATGGTTGATAAAGCAATGGTTTCACTAGGCAAGAAATTATTATGATCTCCTTTTCTTTCGCGCTATATGTGATACTGGATTGATTTAGATTCGGCTATGGTTCATAACCTGGGCCGTTCATTCTATGTATGATTCCACCAAAGCTATGCTTTAAGGTATCCAACACGGTGGTAACTAATGATAATTCAACTAAATTAATCTCATTGGACCAAAGAAAAAAATTAAATTAATCTCAGAAGGCCCGGTTAAACAAGAGTAAAAAAATTTATGGGGAGAAATTAGTCATGGAGCAAATTAAACTAATACATTTATTAAACTCTGATTAAGATGTGATGCCATACACAAAAACTGGATGGGGCCTTAGAAACTAGCATTTTGATTTTCAGATTCATTATGACTTACATATATATGATGATTGTAGGAACTAGTTGGGTCTCCAAATGAGTGGCGACCACATGGACCTGAAATTGGAGAGGTAAGAGGCCAAAACCAAAAGCAACACCACCAACGCCGCTACACCCCAAGGAAACCCCCCTGATTCGGTTCGCACTCTTAAGCGACCAAAGAGTGACGGTGGCACTGGAAGCACAAGGCATGGTCCACATCTAGAGATGGTGTAGGCAATGAAAATGAGGAAAAGGGGCAAAACCAAGAGGAACACGTGGAAGCTGATGGTGGCTGTTTGCACCGTTGACTTCAAGTTTATGTAAGATGGAACAAATAACAGAAACATAACTATGCAAACTATGGCCACCAGTTGCAAAGGAGGTGCAGATATGGATGACAGTGTGTTTTTGGTCCACCCTTGTTTCCATGCTGGACCCCTTCTCTCCTTCATAGGCCACACCATTTTTCTCTCAGCTTCTATTAACTTGTATTCACTCTCTGCTTGTTAGACAATTTATAATACATGATGAGAGAACAATAGTGATACCATACAGCAAATCTAATGGGATCCAACCCAATTCGTGTGCCATTTTGTGATTTCTGTTCGCTTTAGCATAAATTCTGAGGTTGACGAGGTGTGGATTATATCTCCAACTGAACCACCTTTTCTTGTGTTTTGATTTGTATACATCTATATTGTACTTTCAGCTTCTTCTTTTTTTTCTTTTTTTTTTTTTTCTGTTCTGTTCTTATCTTTCTTTAGGTGTTTACAATTATACAGGGTATATAAACCTTTATTTCCTTGTCTTTGAGCTTTTTGGCCCATTGAGTTTCGGTTTGGGAATTGGGATTGATACCAAAGGAGAAGCATGCGTGGCCTTTGTCCAATGGAGAACTAGCAGAATATATTCTCAATTGCTTTCATGCAAAGCTTTTGTTTGGAAGGAGAAATTCTCACGTCTGAAGCCAGGGATAATAATTTTTTAGGTACCACTAAATCCATGGTTATTGATTAAAAAAATATTTATTGTTTTATTTAATAAGTAAGAAAATGGGTAACAAATTACTATACGAAAAATTAGATTTATGTGTTCGAGTCATAAAACATAAGTGGCCCCCAATTTATTATTCCCTTCAAAATTAGTATTAAGCTACCTGGGTAGAAGAATTATAAATCAAATTTTTATCTTTATCTTTATTCAAAATACACCCCCCCCCCTTCTTTAGATAGCTCTTTACATATAAAGTTATTTAATAGGGATCTGTACTCGAATTTTGCAACTGGCCAGTTCATAATGCAACAGGGCTGTTTATAAATTTTGGAACAAGAAAGAAATCCATTAAATGGTTTTTTTGACTTTTTTTCATTTTTGGTTCAGGCAATGATTTTTATTTTTTATTTTCGTTTTACGTGTATAAGATTTTGAAAGGAGTCTTTTGGGTCAATGAAAGGAACCTAGAACAAGAGTAATTTTATTTTATTTTTTGTCAACGAACAAGAGTAATTTTCTGTCAACAGCCGTGTAAAAGTGATGGGTCACACGATGTCAAAAAGGGCTTTGTTTGGGGCCAGGCCCAATATTCTCTGATCCGAATTTTGGACCGTTAACTTCCATACACCCCGAAGTCCTACTTGGTGAAACGAAAGGGAAAGGGCAACACTGCAATTCTTCTTCTACCATTTTGCATTGCAGATTAAAATTGAATTTTGTGAGAAAATGGCTTCGGAAGACTTGAAGGCGGTGAAAAAAGAGGAGGAAAATAACAGCAAGAGTTCCGGTTCGAAAAAGCTCGCTACCTCCAACGTTAAGGTTTCAAAAGTTAAGAAGGAACCTAAAGTGAAGAAGGAAGAAGACAATGACGACGATGACGACATGCCCCTCACTAAAAGAACCTCCAATTCTAAGGAAGTGAAGAAGAAGAAGAAGGTAAAAGAGGAGGAAAAGAAGAAGAAAAAAGAAAAGAAGGTTTATGATTTACCTGGCCAGAAACGAGACCCACCTGAAGAGGTGTGCATTTTGCTTCTCTTCTCTGTTGTTCTTTTCTTACTTTTGAGTAATCAGTTTCTAACTCTTCCCATTTTTCAGAAAGACCCTCTCAGGATTTTCTACGAGAGTTTATTAGAGCAAGTTCCCACTAGCGAAATGTCTCAAATCTGGTGAGTTCTTCATTTACCAGCTGATATAGTGAAGGAAGGAACAGCATTATGATTCATCAATTGTGATTTTGTTTTCTTAATGTTGTCCTCCTCCTTTTAATTTCGTTAGTTCTTCTAGCTTAAATACTTGACTATGCTTCCCAGCAAGAGCACTGTTACCAATTGTTAGAGCCTGTGAAACACCGTAAAATATGCTTTTGAGTAAATAATGAGAGTAGAGACGGAAGAACAGTGAAATTTATCAGGGTCTAAGTAAGAAGCTAAATGCCCTATATAGAGTAAATTTGGTGTCAAGGATACACAAGAAGGCTAAATATCATATCCTTGGCAATCAAGTGGACTTTGTACAGTAATAGAATGCTCTTAATGTTTCACACGTATCCTTAAACTTGATTGAATAAAACCCTTTCATTTAGATGTCAGCATTAAGCTCAATAGTACTTTCCCAGCTTTTATAACACACAAGAATATCAAATTGTCTGCGCTAAAGTGAGGGTTATGATTGCTATTAGTTTCCTGACAAGGTTTTTTGACCCCTCTTGCACGAGTAATTTACCTTGTGATTGATCAATCTTCCATCCCTCTCAAAGGAGCGTTTGTTAGCTCAAAAGACCTAAACCCCAAAAGAGCTAAGCATACCTGCCTCTGTGGATTTATGGGGAAACTAAATGGAAATAGTGTATTTTGTACTCGTTGGTTTAACTTAATGCACGGTAAATTCTTTCTTGAACCTTTTCATAAGACTCCATCCACCCTTCCTGTCTATATTGGATTTGTGTTGTACTCATTTTGCTGTCTTTTGTGTGCCATCAGTTTCTGTATCATAGTCTTTATCACCGTTGCAAGCATCAAGCAATTATACTTTTCTTGCTTTTAATGTCATTTGTAGAAATTATTTCGCCTTACCTTCTCCCACTCTTTCTCTCTCCCTTGTTCCTTGAAATTGCAATGCAATGTCTTCTCGGGTTTAATTTTGATTCACCTGCAATGTAAATTGTTTTACACTACCTGTGAACCTTGCAGTGCCATATGTCAACAAACACTTGTAAACTTTTGTGACAAACCTTATTTATTTACTGCAACGAGTGACACTTGCGCTATTGAATTTTACAGTAACCATTTATCAAATGTAAAAGCCCTTATTTAAACAAGACAATCTTCTCTGCAGATTGAAATTTCTCCCATATCTTTTATATCCTGTGGAATGGAGGTGTAAAAGCTATCAGATCATTTATCTAAAAGAAAAAAATGGAAGATATTAAACAAGATACAATGCCTGTTTGAAACTGGCAGAAAAGAGCAGCTGTCTATCTGCTATCTTCCAAGCAATAAAAATACTTCCTGTAGTTAATAAAGAATAGAAGATTGTTTATTTCCATTAATGAATGCAATTGCAGGTTGATGGAATCGGGCTTGCTTACTAAGGAGATCGCCATGAAAGTATATGAGAAAAAGCAAAAAAGAGGTCTGCAACAGAAGCTCACTTCTCCAGTTAAGGCTATAGCTGCTATTAAGAGCAGTACCAAGTCTGTCACAGTTAAGAAAAATGGCCCGATCTCCCCTGTTTCTTCTGCTAAAAAGAAGACAACGAACTCCACTTCAAAACTCTCCAAGAAGCGGAAATCTAAGGATCTAAGCTCTGAAGATGATGAGGACGATGACTCTGATGATGAAGTTATTTTATCAGCAGCAAAGAGGAGAAAGCTTGCTTAATCACGCTCTTTATGACAGTGATAAATTGTTGCATTTTTTTACTACCATTTATTGCTGGTGACACAACTTGTAAGGCATGAATATTATATGACTTTTAGGAGGCATTTGATATGCAGTCCATTTTCATTCTTAAGAATTATGTTTCCTAGTAATCGTGATTTTTAAGAATGTGATAAATGTACCTAGTATGCCTAAATGTCTATGACATTTCTGGGAATTTTAGACAAGTATACTTAAAACTTTCTCCTTTCATAAGAATCTTGAATTCTTACCTCCTCTTATGAAAATATTTTGTACGAAAACACGATCAAAAAATTATTTTGGGGAACGTCTTTTAAAAAATACATACCAAATATAAGAATTTAAGATTTCTTAGTTAAGATTCTTAGGAAATTGAAAACAATCTTCTCGCAAAACACTTCCTTAATATATTGCACATGGTTTACAATCTATATATATATATGATCCAACGCTCATATCCCAAATTTTTTCGCTTGCATGCCTCCTTTGGGAAGCTCCATTTAAGCTACTCTCATGAGTTGCTGAAAATTATTTTATATAATTTTTCACACTGTCACAGCATTTTTGCTATTTTAAGTAATTAATCAACTTTCTATTTCAACTGAAAAACTCTACACAGTTTGTTGAATAGATCCTCCAACTTAACTTACACTAATTTTTCTCATTTGTGTGACAGTTTTATAAGAATACAATTAAAACATTGCTGGGATCCATCAAGAGTGAAAACGATGGAGTTGCTACTTGTAGTAGCTTGTGCTGTTCAATGATGGGCCATGGTATTATGGTATGATGAAAGTTTAGCAAGGTGCAACACAGAGGTTATGGTGTGTCGAGTTTCATACGGTGCCCAATGTGCATATGGATAAAATCAGCCCAAAAGCAAAAGAGTTGAGTCCAGTTGACCCAATCCATTTTAATAGGATAATCCATGAATTATAATAAAGAAAACCTTAAAGCAAACATTAGGACCCATCCTCTCTAATTTTCTCATTCCATAAGCCCCATTTATCACTTTAAGTTCTTTTCATGTTGATCTTCGGCGGCGACGGTCCCTCTTTGAATCTCTCTCTTCTGTTTACCCCCTCTTTCTGTATATATTTTTCTTATTTTTTCCAATCACTTTTTAGTTTTGTTGTATAACTGTAGTTTTTGTCTTTCTACTTTTCGTTCTTACCTTTCTTTGCTCTGGTTTTATTTTGCATGTTTTATCTCTTTTCAATATTTTTATATTTTGATTTTTTTTGTAATATATCTTTCTATTTTGAATAATAATTTCAGTTCTCTTCTTTTTTCCATTTTTTTATTTATATCATATTTTTATTATAGCCATCATGGGTGCAACACCATCTACCGTGGTTTTGTGGGTTTTTTTAGGCATGCTGTCACATGCCATTAAACACCGGTGTGACCATTGCTCTAAGTGTATCGAAGGTGACATGATCTCCAACTATGTGTAATTTTATTATTGGAATTGTTAATAATACAGTAACTCTGGCTTTTAAACTCTCAATGAGTGTTTAAGAGAAATTGTAATATATGACAGTAAGGTTTTTTTTTTCACACACACAGAGTCGTAATGTTTTCCTTTACTATTTTAATCAATAGTTGTGATTTCATTGTTCTTTCTTTTAAAATATACTTTTCATTTTAGACTATCTAAGTATCTTTTGTTGTTAAAAGGTGTAATTCAATTTCATTGTATTATTTGTGCTATTTTAATGTTATACTGGATCCAGAACCTAACAAGTAACAGACCAATGATTATTTTACTTGGTGTTTTCTTATAATATGTTTAATCCACCATGAAGAACGACACAATGAAAACAAAACAACATAGAAAAAACAAATAAAGTACAAGTAACTGGACTAATACACTATTGTTCCGGACTAAAATTATAGCGTATCTCCCATACCTGTAAATATTATAATTTAACTAACTCACCTTGTTGTCCAAAAATTAGTGGAAGACATGAATAACGATTTTATCAAAATAGAGATTAAGGGAGTGTTTGTTTTTTTTTATAAAAAAAATAGTTTTCTGTTTTTAAAAAAATACAAATTTTTATTGAATTTTATTTTTAAAAAATAATCAAGCATACTCTTAATTTTGTATTTATGTGAAATTTTATTTTTCCAATTTTATCATAACAAATCACACAATCTCATACCCTTCACACCTACAAAACGTTTTTGTCAATTCAAGTTTCGGAGTTTCTTTGTAAATACCCACACGACAACCAATGGAGAGCAGCAACATTAATATTGGGTAATAGTGAAAGAAATAACACTATCAATATATTTTAATTAAAATCAAAATTTAAATCTGAAGTTAATGAGATGTATGGAAATTTTTTCTTCTTTTTTATCTTTTTACTCCCTCTATTTTTCTTCTCCTCTATTTTTAAAAACAATACATGTATTAAAAAATGTAATTAATATTTTCTATATTCAAATTAGTTTTAATTTATTTGACATTTACCCTCTTATTTGTAATAACTGTTGTTAAAACTTATGAAAATATCCAAAAATGTCTTAGATTATCTTTTTAAGATTAAATTTTACATTTGTTATTAATGAATGAAAATATTATAATATTCATTCATCTTTAACATATATATATATATATATATATATAGTGAGAGAGAGAGTTTTAACTGTTTTTATTCTTTCTTTTACTAAACATTTAATACTATATGTTATTATTTAATACCTTATTATATATTATTTATACTTTTATTTGTTATTTGGAAATAAATATAAATATTATAAATCCCATCCATTATACTGATACTTGGCCAAAATAACTCCCACGAGCAATCCAATGTGATTACAAAAAAAACAGGAGGACAAAAAAAAAGACAGAAAAAGAAGAAGAAAATAAGTTGAAGCAAGCATAAACCCTAGTGACCTCAATGGGTGGACACGCGACACGTGTCAGGAGGTGGTGAGGGTGGGCATGGATTTCCAAATTCTGTGTTTTTATTAAAGAGCGAGAGGCTCTTCCTTCCAAAGGAAGAGTGAGATTTGGTAGAGAACAGAGGATGAAACAGGAACATGAACATGAACACCAACACCAACACCAACACGAGAGTGAAGTTGCTCAAATCCTTATTAAGCTCCCAAATCTTATATGGGAATCGGAGTGTGGCCATGGAATCCTTCCACTAAAGTGGGGTGGGAAGAGGAAGAGATCTACGATTGCAGTTACCATCAAAAGAGAAGCTTCGAGTCCTGCAACCCCGTTCTCCTTCTCTCCCAGTGAGTCCGATGACAACCCCACTACACTCTTCACAGCTAACCTTTCACTCAAAACGGTATTCTTCAAACGTTTTTTATAAGATTTACGTTTCTCTGTTTTTTTCTTCTTTCTTCCATCCCCCGTTATCTAATTATTGGATTTTCTTTTATTTCTGCTTGTTTAGAAGCGAGAACACTATCTCAGGATTATAGAACAACTCACTAAAGACAACGCTTTGCTCTGTCGGGTAAATCTCTCTCTTTTCTTTCTTTTCTGTTTTCTCGGTTAGCAAGTAATTGGGCTGTTTTCCTCAATTTTTGGACCCTCTTAAATAAAACTATTTAAAAAAAGAGAGAGAAAATTATTGCTCATGGGTTCTGGTTGATCTGTGAAAATCCTTAACAGGAGGTGAAGAATGTGAAGTGTTATTTTGACAAGCTGAAGGAGTTCAATTTGAAGTTGAAAGCAAGGAAGCAAGAGGTACTATTGCTCTACTACCATTTGCATGACAATTTTCGTGCTTATCCTCTCTTTTTTTAATTATTTGAAGATTTCTCCTTCTGGGTTGTATTTATGTTGCTTTATCTCTTTCCTGATGCTGGGTCCACTCCTTTATTTTGATTTACTGAATTACCATTTCTTTTTACAGCTATGTCTTGGCCCAAATCAAACTCATCTCTTACAACAGCAATTGCAATTCACCGCCATGCCGCACCTTCCGCCCTTCATGGGGAATCACACGGCTGGGGCACCCTTAATCACAGAGGCTGAGCGCGTTGTTCGGCAACCATGCGGACACGCAACGACGTCGTCGGGAGCGCCGTCCAACAGTGGCGGTGCAATGGGCCTGGGCCACTGCAACAGTAATAACGAGGTGGGCCCAAATGGAATTCCTGATCTGAATTTACCACTTGATGAGTCGATGACAATGGAGTGTTGTGAAGCGTCGGATGTGAATGTGAAGAAAGATCTGAGTAGGGCTGTGGCAGCTCAAGCTCGAAAGAATAGGCTTCAGATTTATAGGTTGAAGAATCCATTCGGAAATAGTAAAACCCGTTTTTCTTGTAGATGATGTGTTATATTTATTGCTATATATACATCCACATAATTCTTCTACCTTTTTTTCTTCCCGATTCCTTTTAAGCCATTATCTTCAATCTCGTTACTAACTGCTATTTGTTTTTCCTCCGCGAGGGAATTTAATGTGTTACTGTTTCACAGAATGTATATCAGGGAAGCGCTCTGGTGATTTTGAATCTTTCATGAATCATGATGATAATAACAGCGCTTCTGATTCCGAGTTTTAATGGCAATTTAAAAGCTCGTGCAATGGTATATTAACATCCCCTATTCACTACTCATTCCGTTTTTGTTTATTATTATTCTTTTCAATTTTAAAGGAATTTTTAAGATAATAATAGGAGAGAAAATAATAATAAAATTAACAATAACAAAAAAAAATTAAGATAGTAGAAAATATTATTTATATTTTTTCCGTTCATTGTATTGCCGCGTAATTTTATTGTGAATATTCTGATTGAAATATTGTTGCTTTTAATCTTACCTTGGGACTAGGATGAGTTTCAATATATTTCGCAAATGGAACATTGGAAAAAATAAATCAAATATTATTTTATGCAGTTGGGAATTATCGTGAGATGAATTGTTTTAACAGCCCATTTAACTATTTTCAACGCACATGGAGCTAAGGTTGACACACTGCAATATCTCTTGACTCAGAAAAGAAAATATTAAATTATTAAAAAAAAAAGGTAGTATTTTTTGTTTCTAAATATAGACCCCAAAAAAAAGATTCAATTTTTTTAAAAAATAGGCTAAGGAGCGCCGCCTGTGTTTTGTGTTTGAGTTAGGGTTTGTTTAGGCTTGTTGCACCTGTGCCGTGCACACGTGAGGGTTAGGGGCTGCAGTTTAGTAGAATCCAAATTCAATAGCATGCTGAGTTGTACTTTGTTTATTTTCTTGTACTGGATTGGGCCTGTTTTTAGGCTAGGCAACGCCTTTTTTTTTTTAATCGCACCACTCCATTTTTAAAACAAAATTATGTACTATATTTTAATAACTTCTAAAAATTAATTTTTGGAAGGGTTGTTTAAAATAGAAACCACCAGGATTAGTTTTCTCTGTACCGAAAGGAAAAGCCTCAAGTAAGATGTGGTCATAACTAGTTCTGAATTAGGAAGCTCATCTAACAATATTTGAAGTTTGATTGCCTTCTTTGCTTATCAGTTATCACGCAGCATGCGGAAAGAGACTGGTTAGTAATACTTTTTTTTTTTAACACATCTTAAATTATTTGTTACAAATTTTTAAAAAATTATAAAATTACAAGAAAAAAAATATTAAACTAAATTTGAGAAAAAGTAAAATTTATATAATTTTTAATAAATTTTAATTAATACTTAAAATTGTGTTTAAAAAAAGTTGTTAACGTTATTCTATTGATAGAAGTAAGATTTGAATATTATCCTCAAGCAGGATAAATTGAGTAAAGCAGTTGAAGGATTTTCGCAACTTTAGGAGCGTGACTCTAGGAAAAGTGTTTCAGCATGGAATAGTCTCAAACCAAAATTGTAAGCGAAAAAGATGTTTTCCGTTTGTGGAAATCTTTAAATTGTACCCAACAACTATAGCTACAAGTGAAATTTAAATAAATTTCTAGCATCATTAATTTATTCAGTGCACATAACTAGTCAACATTAAACATACTTGCAATATGCGAAGCTTTTTTGTAAACATAATTATAGTTCATGATAAATTATGTTACATTATACTATATATTTATATTTTAAATATAGAGAAAAAAATTGTAATATACCTTCAGACTTTCTGTTTCTTTCCTTGTATTATATTTTTGCACCAAAAAGTTGTGGGGTTATTATATATTTTCCAACTTTTGTTTTTGTTAAGAGCATTTGTATTATAAACGGATAGGCCTAAAGCCATGCCTAGTCTGTTCTTAAACAGGGAGAAAGCTAAACAGCACCTCAACATGTGTAAATAAGACCCAAAAGAGTGGAGGCCCATAAAAGCATTGATGGGCAATGAGTCAAGTCCATAGCCCACCGTGGCTGAATAAGGAAACTTCTAGAGCTTCCATCGTCTCCATTATTTATAATGATCGATAAATGAAGAATGAGGGCTGCAACAGTATCTCCATCTCATGCTGCATATCTCTATGTATTCTATATTCGCTTCGTCTTGATGATCGAAATAATATCGTATTCGGTCTCTGTGTAATTAGCATATTATTATATTTACTATTGTGTACACAAGTGGATGAATTTTGATTGTTAAGGAAGCAAATGATGAGAATTTATTTCGGGATTATGAGAAGCTCGTCTATTTGCGAGCGATGTTTATCCTCATACTTCCATGACTCTGATGCGCTTCCATTATTCAGCTTTATCGAATTTCAGATCCCTCTCCCTGTGTCATTTAATAATTCAAATAGTTAGAATCGTAAAGTTTTATTGCAATTCTTTTGTTTTATGACTCATCTTAAATTATTTGTTGGTAACGACTGTCATTAAATTTGTTCTCGCGGTTGAGAAATTATTAATTATTATCTGCAATTTTTTAATTTTTTAAAAAAATGATTAAAACATCGATTGTATCTTTAACAAAACTTCAATTGTATACCCATTTTATACATTTATTTTACTGTTTATTTTTTTAATTATCCTTCAAAACCAAATATATGATTAGGTTTCGTTGTGTCGGCCACACTCGACATGAAATGCAGCTGTGTTAGGCTTTAGATAAATAAATTGATTGATTCCCTTGATGACCCAAATTTGATATTGCTCTACCAAATGCTGTGGAGTTGCAAATATCACGTTATTGCAGAATGGTCAAGTTATTTATATTCATTTTATTTACGATTTATACTGGGAAATATGTTCATGATTTGAGATGCATATTGACCAGTGGGTTCAAATTTTTTTGATTGACCGATTTCTACTTGCGTACTAACTTCATTAGAACAGGGGAGGAAATAATTACATGTTAGAGTTAAGAATATAGTAGGTTAGAATTCATTTATATATGAAAATAAGATTATGGATACAAATAGAGTAGGCTAGAATTGATTTACTTACCTTAACTCGTTATGAAATAATCTCGTCAGTTGTGCTCTAATTTATTACTTTTACAATTAAGGATTTTTTTAAGTGTCGGATGAAAAAATAAAATAACTATAATCATTTTCATAAAATCAGATTGCGGATAAAAATTAAGATTATCGTTTCTTGTTCATTTATTTACCCTAACTCAAAATGAATTAACTTAGTAAGTTATGCTCTGATTAATTACTTTTATAATTTAGGTAAAAAATATTTACCCGCAGTATTGAAATACAAAAGGACGAGAACGGCGATGATCTGACACGCCCGCCCCACTTTTAAGCCCCTCAGGACAATGGCAGGGCTTCAGGGTATGTAAAGGAAAATAGGAAAAAAAGAAAAGGTCCAGTTTTTTAGTGCAACGCGAATTGGGAGGAAACAAACTTATTCATACTTGACCGAAAAAAAAACAAAACACATCCATACACTTGCATGCATAGGAATTGGAGTATAGAATAATCAACTATTGTCTCACGGGGTACATTCCAAACAATTGAAAAGTAGTACATTTAAAAGCGAAATCGGCAAAATATAAGGCAGCAGAGAGAAAAGAGAATAAAAGAGAGTTCATATGGCTGTAGATACACGAATAGCAGCAAAACTAGATCGGTGCCAGTAGTTACCATTAGGGCATTGCTCAAGTTTAATCCAACTACTACTCGTCGTAATGCTCAGGCTCCTCCTCTTCGTACTCATCATCCTCGTCTGCAGTTGCATCCTGGTATTGCTGGTACTCTGCTACCAAATCATTCATGTTACTCTCTGCCTCAGTGAACTCCATCTCATCCATTCCTTCCCCAGTGTACCAGTGCAAGAAGGCTTTGCGCCGGAACATTGCAGTGAACTGCTCACTCACCCTCCTAAACATCTCTTGAATTGATGTTGAGTTCCCAATGAAAGTGGATGACATCTTCAAATTCTTGGGTGGAATATCACACACACTGGACTTTACGTTGTTGGGAATCCATTCGACAAAGTATGACGAATTCTTGTTCTGCACATTGATCATCTGTTCATCCACCTCTTTGGTGCTCATCTTTCCCCTGAACATAGCAGATGCAGTCAAGTATCGGCCATGTCGGGGATCAGCAGCACACATCATATTTTTGGCATCCCACATTTGCTGAGTCAGTTCTGGGACAGTAAGGGAGACATATTGCTGTGATCCACGGGAAGTGAGAGGCGCAAACCCCACCATAAAGAAGTGAAGACGGGGGAATGGGATCAGATTGACAGCCAGCTTCCTGAGGTCAGAGTTCAGTTGTCCAGGAAACCTCAGACAACAGGTAACTCCACTCATGGTAGCAGAAATCAGATGGTTCAAATCACCAACTGCAAGCAAACCATAGGAGAGAAATACACAATCGTTATTATTTTCTTGTATGCCTACTCTTGAGATTGATTCGGGGCCTAGGACAGAGAATATAATACTTACAGCTAGGGGTGCTGAGTTTTAATGTCCTAAAACAAATGTCATAAAGTGCTTCATTGTCCAGAACCATGCACTCATCTGCATTTTCAACCAGTTGGTGTACAGATAAAGTGGCATTGTATGGCTCCACAACTGTGTCAGAAACCTTCGGAGATGGGAAAACAGAGAAAGTGAGCATCATTCTGTCTGGGTATTCCTCCCTAATCTTTGATATCAAGAGTGTTCCCATGCCAGAACCTGTGCCACCTCCAAGCGAGTGGCAAACTTGAAAACCTGACAAAAAATGAATTTAAATTTCAGAGTTAAGAATGAATAAATGATGACAAAACTTGCAAGTTCACAAATTAGTGTAATCCTGAGACAATTATTAAACCGTTAAAAACAATATTTCCAGAAGCAGGTACCAATTATGAGCCACATCACATATGGAAGCATTTTAATAAATTTCACAATCTCAAAGAAGCAACATTTTTAGGCCATGGAGCATAGCAATCCTGTTCTGTTCAGAGTCTTGGTAGGGTAAGGAATCATGCTCACAGTAGCTATAGACCACTAATACAAGCTGCTATCTAATTAATAAATCATAATGTGGCAAAAAGAAACAAAACTTTGCTTCATGAATCTGCGTTGCTTTATTCTGCAGGCGGCATTCCAATTCAATCTATGAAATCAGATCCAGGTGGTAAATGGTAAATTAATATACTACAGCGACTTGCTCCATGTACCTAGAGATCCAAGTTGAATACACAATTCCATGTATTGCGTACATTGCTAATACCAATTACAAGCTTAACTCCAGTGTTTTATTGACTATTAGTCATAAGAACATAACATACCTTAAATTTACTTTGGTAAAGTTGCTACAAGTAAACGCACAACGTAGGTGCATTGTAATAGGACCATTTTATTTTAATTATTGCTTCATATCTCACCCTGTTTTGACAATCAATTTAAACATTACTTACCTGAGAAAGTAAAGATAGATAGTTGACCTGTTAGAATGTTTTTTTCCGGTGATGGGGGCAGAGGGGTACTAGTGTAAAACAGTAGTCAAATATCAGGCCACCATAGCAGGAAAGAGCAGATTTTATATAGTTTAGTTTAATTAATTACGCATTATAAAAAGATAACGTGGTCCCTGCATGTCTTCACTATTGACAACAGGGACCATGTTAACAGCTCAGCCCTGTCATTTTCTCCCAAAAACAAGCAATCTGTTTGCCAAATGTCAACAAGTAAAAGAAATTGAGAAAGCAATTATTACAGCAGAAAGATGACATAAAGAAAATCCCGATACTACTTCAGATCTACTATTATTCCTTTATTTATTATAGATCTGCAGATAGCAAATAAGAGGCGTTAATGTCATACAAATATTCCCCCCTTCCTTTGCATATCAGGAACTTGATAGAATGGCGAAAAATATTTCTCAATGGTTATTTCCCACATTCAACGTATTTAGAGTTCGGTTATCAAGACAACGACACCATACACGATTGATCCATAAAAATTAGTCATCATAAAGTGAAATGGAACTCTTTAACAGCAAAGTTTTTATGCGGATTGAATTGAGCTTGGCATTGGATCTCCCAGGAACATAACTATATCAGCGATCTCAGTGTGCGCATTCTCCAGTTCGGATTTAATTAAAATGTAGGGTTCAACTTATACTGTGTTTATCACTAAACACTGAATCCAGTGGCTAAGATCTAAGTCGTCATCGTCCATTGGATTCAGAGAAATTTGTAGATCTATTATACTGACAAATCACCGTTTGAATAAGACAGTTTTTAAAAAATAGAATAACCGCGAAAGAACCACAAATATCAACGACACAAAAACAGAGAAAAGTAAACACAAAATTTTAACGGATCTGCAGGTGCAACGTCGCGCAAGCATTATTGCATTCGAAAATAGAAAAAACAAAGACAACTCGCTGGCATCGTAGAATGTGAATATATACCTTGCAAGCAATCGCAGTTTTCAGCCTCCTTTCGAACGACATCGAGAACAGAGTCGATCAACTCGGCGCCTTCGGTATAATGACCTTTGGCCCAGTTATTACCGGCACCGGACTGGCCGAATACGAAGTTATCGGGGCGAAAGATCTTGCCGTAAGGGCCAGATCTGATGCTGTCCATTGTGCCAGGTTCAAGATCCATGAGCACCGCCCTGGGAACATACCTTCCACCAGAAGCCTCATTGTAATACACATTGATCCTCTCGAGTTGGATATCGGAATTGCCTTCGCCGCTGTACTTTCCGGTGGGATCGATGCCGTGCTCATCGCAGATTACCTCCCAGAACTTGGAACCGATTTGGTTGCCGCATTGGCCTCCTTGTACGTGCAAGATCTCTCTCATGGTTGCGACGAAGAAGGAGAGATTTAGGGTTTGGTATTTATTTGGAAGAGGGAGGGAAATGAAATGAAATGCGACAAAATGAAATGAAATGCGAGGGGTTACGTTAAGGGTGAGGAGAGTGCAGTCATTTATGGAAGGAGAGAGAAGAGGGATATTCGGAGGTTAGGATGGTAATAACGAATGGCGGGATATTTTGTTTTCGAGTGCGGTGTCCTGTGCCGTTCATTCTTCAAGGGTGACAGCCATGTTACCGCCACCAACTGTACCAGCGCATAACTTCCCTCACGTTATCTCTCAGGCCCCACCTTTCTCAACCTCCTTTCCCAAATTACATTTCCACCCATTCCATGATTGCTTCTATTCGGTGCATTCCTATTTTTTAAATGCATTCAGATCGTCAATAATAATTCTTATTTTTAGTTTAAATATTTTCAACTTTACCACGTGTTTTTCTGTTTTTTCTTATTTTAAATGTTTTATTTATTCGTACCTTTAATTTTTAAAAATTCAATTAACTAATCTTCTTATGTCATCTAAATAAGTTAGTTCTTTAGGGGTATAAAATTATTACATTCTTTTTAAAATCTGATTCCTCTATGCTCACCCGAGGTCTTTTTTTTTTTTTTTTTGTATTTCCTTTGTTTACCTTTTTTTTCCTATGGACCATATATATTTTTGTGTTTGCTTACGTGGATGATACGAGCCTAAATAACTTCATTTAGGGGACTTATATTAAAGATAAAATACAGAATCCAATATGCATGAATTGATATTAATCCCAATTAGATAATTCGGATGACAAAATCACATTAAGTAAAACATCAATTCAGTTTTTAAAATTTAAATATCATTAATTCTGTAAATAAAATAATTGTCTGTATTATAAAAAAATTATTTTTTTTTGTCGACCATTAATCATTTCAGCCCGTAAATTTGACCCGGGCAGACGAATAACATCAATATTAGAAAAATGTCAATTTAGTCTCAAAATATTATAAAGTTAACATCAGTGACATCAAGATTTTATCACAAATAACATCAATAACATTAAGTCTCTAAATTTAATTAGTATTATCAATTTAGTCCTAAAATGATTAAAGAAGCAACGTCAATGATTTTGGTCCTTGGTGTTAGAAAAATGTCGTAAACTAAATTGACAATGTGCCACAAAACCATTAATGTCGTGAGTTCTAAAATGCTTGGCATGTGGTTATTAAAGTTACTTTTCAAGTTTATAGACAAATAAAAACACAAATTAAAGATGAAGATATAAAATGTGCATGTAAGGCGATGTAAAAGTAAATAAGTGTTGTAATTGAATGGAGCGGGGAAAAACAACTTCATATATTCTATGCGTTGTTTATGCCAAAGTGTCAACAAAAATACTCGTTATGCACCAATATTTATACGTATAAACAGGTAATTATCTTCACTGAATATGTCTACCTCGTCTAAAACCTTTTAAAACCCACATTAACAACAGTGTACGGTCATAATTTACAACAATAATACAGATAATTGTTATTATTGAACGAGTTATTTGATTGATATTTGTTTTGGGTGAAATTACATGTTAATTTCACTGTGACTTGTACTATATTGAGACTAATTCCAAAAGTGATATGCAGTAATCAAAGGGTCATTCTTTTCTACATCTTCATTTTTTAGATACACGTTCTTCGTTTGTTTTGTTTTTTTTAGAAATTACTCTTGTCTCTTTTACACTTCTTTAAAAATATATATCTTTCAATCTAATCTTGTCGCTACCAACATTAATTATCAAATTCTTTACCTGTACGAACAAATTGGCTACTTATTTAAGCAATTTTTTGTAAACATTGGAAGAAAAAAAATGACATTTTCGGTTTTATTGTTTTGTGAGAAAGGCAATGAAAGTTACTTTACATTTTTCAGAAATTTATTTTTGGAAATTATGTTTAAAAATCAAGGCGATACAGAAATAACAGGTGCCGGAAGCATTTATCAGCCATTCACAACGACTCAATCCATTTTAAAATTCCGTTCATCAATTGCTTCTATTATTGCATGTGACCCAAACCGAATTCAGACGGTTCAATGACATGATATGTAGCATTTAATAATGACTTGTAGAGTAATTAATCAATTAATCTAGTTTTTATAAAATTTTAAATATGAAAGTTATTTACAAGTCAATTTAACACATTTAAAAAAACTTATAAATTAATATTTAAGTGATGTTAACAACAAAAGATTATTAATAATTGTATACATTAATAATTAAATTAATTGGTGATTATATATGTTGAAAAATAAAATAATAATTGATTAATTGTTAAAACTATGGGAATTAAAATTATTGAGATGTATGTAAGAGTAGTTTTAAAAATTTATAAAGAGTGCAAAATAAATTTCCAATGGAAGTCATGCTCGTTTTTCAGCACCTCAAAATGTTATTGTCAATTTATATACTGTTTGACAAAAAATGAAACGGCCCAGCCCACTAAAAGAAAGTTATCCATGTCATCTGTATCGTACTTTCGAACAAAAAAAAAGGTATTATGACAAGTTTATGAGAGTATTATTTTTAATAATTTAACCCGCATAATTTGGTTTTCTATATAAAGTCAACAAAAATGGGGTAGATTGTTAATAATGTTGGTTGAAAAATAAAAAATATTTTATCTATTTTTATGGATAAATGGAGTAAGTGAGTTAATTATTAAAATTTTTTTATATATATAAAAATTTGAACTTAAAATTTTGTTTAAACGATATTGAGTCGCTTATTATTTAGATCAATATCTGTTAATATTAATACATTATTATTAAACAAGTTTTATTATATTAAAATATAAGATTAATTTTAACACGTTTAAATATATTTTTATTATATTTTGTATTGTATTAAAAATATAAAGTATAGTAGATTTTCATCCTCAATAAGATTTTACTATTGTTTTTGGATGCGCGAGATTAATCTTAAATGGCAATGTTGGCATCCTCTTTATTGTGGAGATTATAATAATATCATTTATTTAATAAAATTTAATGTGCATTGATGTTTTACTAAATTAATGTATCTTATGTTCACCATACGCGCAACTCTCCATACTTCTGATGCAGTCTTAACTATTGTAAAGTGCGTAATACATTTAATAAATATTAATGATGCATTAATGCTTTATTATTTTATTGATGAATTGATGTATCTAATGTTCCTACACGCAATCCTCGATCCATATACTAATGTAGATTGAATTTTAGCTATGTTAAAGTGCACACGAATAAATACTCGTTGACAAAAAAAAAAAAAAAAACTTTTATAAAATTGAAGAAAAGCTTTGGGAGAGCCGTGGTGGAAATAATAAGGCCGCGAGGAAATAATGTAACATTTACTTTTTTTTATTTAATAATAACGTATCGATATTTTAACAATTCTTTATATTATTATTTGATCATGAATTATTGTATGAGTGTGTAAGAGATTTTAGTTTTTACAATAATTGATTTAAAAATTATGTTTTCAGGATACTTTAACTTGTTATTGTGATTGTTGAAAGAAAAAAAAAAGTTTAGAAAAGGCCTCAACCTTAAAACGCGTAGATGGCCCAACATCAAAAGCTGAGACGTTGTCTTATATTTTCTTTCGTTTGACAAAAGAAAAACTTTTTCCTTCTTAAACTCATTTGCCTTGACCCAAAAACAACTCATTTGCCAATTACGAAAAAAAAAAACTGCTAATTAAATAACCAAGCAGGATAAATTCTATAAAAGAGTTTGAAAACTTCAAAACACACATAAAATTTTAATTTCTTTTAAGCCCACGTTATATTTCTAATTAATATTTATAAAAATGTTAAGAAGACGTTTTCTATCTTACTTCCTCCTCTAATTAGACAGTAGAATAGTGTTAATAAAAAAAAAATTTAATAGAATATATAAATTTATTAAAAACTACAAAAATATAAATAAAAAATATTGATTTAAGAGTAAAATAAAATAAAATATATATATTTTTATAAACTTTTTTTTTGCTAGAATATTTTTTTATAAACTTTAACTATCAGTATATTAAAAGTAATATATCTAGTTCATTTTGTACAAATTTATATACTGAATATAAATAATAATATTGCAAAAATTTCCTCAGACTACCCTTCCAAAAGTTTAAATTGAATTTAAACCGAAATTCAATTGCTTATATTATATGGGAAAGATAATTTTTTATTTATTTATCTTATTTAAGAGATATTAAGTTATTTAACATTTAGATAATTTCATTGGCTGATATACATGATATTTCATTTCACGATGCTATAATGTAAGGAATTTATTTATACCAAATGACTATTTTTATTTATTAGGAAAGTGATCCCTGCGATACACGAATAAATTATTATGTTATAGTATAATATTATAATTAATAATTATAAAATAAAAAATAATTCTATAAAATATTTATGATAATATTTAATTTATTTTAAATTTTAAAATTAATTAATATATATTAATATTATTACTAATAAAATGATTTCATATATTATATAAAGATTTATAATATATTTTTAAATATTTTTAAATTAATTTTAAAAGTAAAAAGATTAAACTCAAATAAAATTTAAATTTATAAGATTATAGATTTAATTCTATAAAGTTTTAAAATACTTTTAAATTATTTTAAATTTTAAAATTAATTAGTATATATTAATATTATTACTAATAAAATAATTTCATATGTTATATAAAGATTTATAATATAATTTTAAATATTTATAAATTAACTTTAAAAGTAAAAGGTTTAAACTCAAATATAATTGAATTTATAAATTATAAATTTAATTTTATAAAGTTTTAAAATACTCTTATAATTAATTTGTAATAATTTAACATGTATATATACATATCACAACATAAGAATTCTTAATAAAAAAATAAATTTAAATATATTTAAAATATTTTAAGGTAAAAATTATTGAAGAAATAAAATTATATATTTTATTTTATCTTATAAAATTATATAGCACACAATTTAAGGATAAAAATAAATAATTTTTTTATTAAATAAACCTATTTTGTATTTCTGAAACTATTATTATATATCAAGTATCATAATTT